GCCCATAGGATATTAAAATAAAATATCGTATGTTGCCACCGACGTGTTGAGTTCGTATAATATTTATGCTTGGTTTTAAAATAAAAATTAGTTACAAAAATTACAAAACATTATTTCTTACCGAAATTTTAAATTACGATAGTTTCTCTATATTTTCGATAAACCATTAATTAAAATAAAATAATTAATGTGGCACTTTTTACTCATAAGAAAAAGGCTAAAAGAATGTGTTTGTTTATTATTAAGGACGAAATAAAATTTTTATTTTCCAAAAAATTGAACTGCGGAATTTCCTATCGAAATCCACTTGTATTTATACATTTTTAAGAAAAATATTTCTAATATTTCTAATATTTCTAATATTTCTAATAAAATTTGAAGATCTATTATCATATGACTATCTCGTTACACTAAACTAAACTATAAATATAATTTTATTGGCTAATTATTTATCCATCGGCTAAATATTTATCCATCACTTACTGCGCCATGTGACTTGTCACGTGACTTTGTATTCCAAACTATTTCTTCTTGTGTAACCATATCATGTGACTTACTGCGCCACAGGATTTACTGCGTCATTTATCTATTATATTTTCAGTTATTACAACGCAAATGGAAGGATGAATGACGTAAGAATTTTGGTTGTTTTTAGTTAAATATAAATGTTTTACCCATGTTATTTTGCGTTTAGAAAAAAATTCGTCGACTAAAAGCTGCCAAAACTTTATATGATAAAGACGATGTGAGAATCGCTCACTATGAAAAACAAGAGATGATCAATATCATTCAAGATATCAGATATCATTCACCGGAGTTGAGTGAAATGGATGAGAAAAATGCGTTGGAAAAACGTTAAATAGTTGTGTATAATCGATCATGGAGATCATCGGAGGTATGTACTAACTTTCGACTTATTATAGTAATTTATAGATTTACACTAACTTGTTTCTTTCTAGTTAAAAACTTTTTTTAGGGAAGTATTGGATCCTTATTCATTTACACAACAAAACGCACAACTAACCAGACGTAGAAATTATGATGATACGTTGCAAAATTTTGACGTCCAACCTCCGAACGATGCACCACAATGGACATGTGTAGAACCAGGAAATGGTAATGTCGTATATGATTCTGATATAGGATACGAGAGTATATACGATGACTATATGTACGATGATGCTGACACGTTTTAATGGAGTGTTGGTAATTATTATATACATTCAATGTTATTTCACTAAAATTTAACGTTCAATGTTATTTCAGTATAATTTTGCTTTAACCTTTATTTTATTTGTTTATTGTATCAAAAAATTAGCGTTGTGAATGAAGTTGATGATGAAAGTCGTCTTGAAGGTGTTATATTATATAAATAGGACATTTTTATAATATATTATTATTAGCGTAGCATATAAATTGAACATTATAATAATTAGTATAAATTAGTATTAAATATATAGTATTAAATATTTTATTAAATAAATAACAATTTATTGCGTTTAAAAGCTGACCGAATGTTAAGTATTCATTATAATGAATGTTATCTGAAAGTTATACGATTTTTTATTCTGAAAGTCATGCAAATGGTAGATCAAAATCTACCGAAGTTTAGCTAAAATTTAGACGAGTGGCAGTCTGAATGGTAACACTTGATAAAAACTTTCAGTTAAGAGATTCGTCTAACTTCGGCCGAATTTCAGCCATAATTCGGGCCAAATTTGCCTATACGAAATCTGGCCGAATTGGACTATTTCGACTAGTGGATTCTGGCATTTTTACATCTAAGATCGAAAAAAAAATGCTAAAACAAATAGTTTCAGCGGTTTTATATATAAAAACAAAAGTAAAATGTCGGGACCTGACATTTTTTCAATAAAAATTAAAAAAAATCATTTTTTTTTTTTAATTAAAAATGTTGAACCTGACGTTTTTTGTATAATTAATAAAAAAACGTTACAAAACGTTTTTTTAATTGAAATATTTAATAAAAAAACTTTGGGTAACCTGAGTTACCCGAAGTGATCTGAATACTTTAGATCAAATGGATCAGATCAGATCAGAACAGTTTACCCAACCTGACCTGACCTGAAAAAAATTTTTGGTTTGGGTTAACCAGGTAATCTGACCTGACCTGACCTGTACAGAACTCTATATAGATTTTAGCTTCAAATTTTGCTATTTCAGGATCCAGTGATTAGATTTTAATGATCTTTGACTTGTTAGATTCGTCTCAATAAGACGAACATTTTGACATATAATTCATATTTTTAGGTGTAATATTGATTGAGATATAGCATTTTGAAAATTTGGTACATGAGTTTTGAGTTGTTTTAGTAATGTTTGGGTCCTTGTATATCATATATTGAGTCATAAAATTCCATATATTAATAACACCTATCTTTATAATAATAAGTCATAATTACTATCATCACAAATCTCTTAACCTACTGTACATACAGTTAGAAGTTTGGTAGCAGGTTATATATATAAATCTGTCACTTGATTAAGAATATTAATTTTTGGCCAGAATTAAGATTTAATTATCACAAAGCAGAGACCCGGATTTATTCCGATATTAAACCAATTATAATAAGAAACATTTGATAATTCTAGCCGGCTTACATCTCCAACTTAGGTTGCGCTAGTGACATGACAATAATTTTAGCCAAAAACGATTGAAATGATCAACAATTTACTCGATATAGAATAAAATATGCAATAATGATTGGCTAGTTTCACGTATTGGAATAAAATTGTTAAAAATCATAAAAATTCCGGTTATTCCATAATACAGCAAAAATTCCGATTTATAAAAATGGAATTTTCCCGGGCAGAAATTCCAAACACGTGATCGTAGCTGTGTACGTTATATCAAGTTTTATATGAAATTCGGTATATCAAGATTCTTTTAAATAATATGAAACTGGTTTTTAAAAAAAAGTTCGAGTTCGTTATACTTTGAGAAATTCAAAACACTATTGCTGTGAGATTACTTTTATAAATTCGCTTTTCGCTTAAAAGTTCATGCAAAACTCATTTTACCCTTTGTATTTCATTTTAACCCTGTTTTTTGCTTTTTTTGGAAGGAAGTTGGTCGGTGCGCTCTAAGGTTTCATATCTAATAATAACTTGTATTTTCTTTTTTTACCTACGATCTATTCTTATATCATCTTTTTTTAAAGGGATCTTCACGTCAAAAATTTTGCATGTCGTGTAACCATTTAAAAAGCACTAAATAGCGACTCATTTGGTTTTGACATGCATAAAATCCGAAATTTAATATTTAATTGGAAGAATAGACAATCTTTTTAATAATGATTATTATATTCTTTTTAATGCAGGGAAAATTAAATATTTGGCATTCAGGACAATACAAAAATAAAACAATTTATTATCTATTGTTAGTCATAGTGTAGATGCCATTGTGCTTTTTTTTCCTCTAGGCATCATAGTGCAGTTGTCCGAAAGAAATTTGCATATTGCATAAGTCCCTAAGTTCTTGTTACCTGTTAAAGACCGAATTACGCCTTTATAGATACGATCATTGCCTAATAGACTTCGAAACATAATCATCTAACCAAGATAACTTAATTTTCAATAAATAAGAAAATACATTCAAACCCCCCACAATCACCAAAGTAGATTATTTAACATCTATAGGAACACGTTCTTATTACTTAGTACAATATGTTTCAGTGTATTTACGAAAAAATATATATATGTATATATGTATAAGTAAGTATGTTTCTGATGTATCCCAAATACAGTTTATACATAAACCCCTCAACGAAATAAAAAGGCAAAAAAAAAAAAAAATTAAATTGAAATATTTAAAAAAAATCGATGAAGGTAAATATATAATAACAATACTATTGAAATGTTGGAACTTGTTTTTAAACGGTGACTGAAGGTAAAAGACGTAAACTAAGTAAAAAGAGAGATAATATGAAAAATAAAATAAAATTCAAGGTGTGTATGTATAAGAGATATCCCCTTGCTTTGTGATACAACTGTCCAAATAAATCGTATTTAGTTACGTCAAATTGCAAGAAATTCCCCGCATATTCAATGTGCTTTTGCGATAAGTTCCAACAATTCAAGCGCCTCTAGTCACCGTCGTTTTAGCTGCATAGTTTGTAATATTATTAATAATCAATATGCATTTTTACAAAAATTCTGCGCTAATAATTCAATTGTTGAAATATAAATCTCACCTGAGTGTCAAGAATTAAACGTTGTTGATTAAGGAAAGATTGAGGTCCTTGCCTTTGCAAGAACACATGATCACCTTGAATACGTGTGCCTATATTGAACCAAGCACTTGTGATCAAATTAATTTCTTTTTGTAATTGCTCCTTTACTTCCTTGTGAAGTTGCTGGTAAAAAAAAAAAAAAATGTTATAAAACGAGCGGAACGTAAAGAGTGTGTATAAAAAACAATTAATAGCGAATCATTTACCTCCAAGCGTTTAATTTCAGCAGTATGAGCTTCTCTTTCTGCTTCGAACGAATTTTGTGCATTTTTGTAATTCTCGATTATTTCATGTTGACCAGTAACCAAAGTCTTGAGTTGTTCAAGCTTCCTTGTCTTTTCATTAGCCTGTTTGTGCAATAGTATATTTTGGCTCCTGAGGTCGTCATCACTTTTACCTTCTAAATTCAGAAGGAGGGAAGTCAGTTCTCTAAAAATTTTTAGGAGGATAAGGTAGAATTAAACATTAGAATTTTATAATGAATAATATAGATCAAATAAAGAATTTCTATGTTAAACATACTCATTACGATGCCTCAAATCCTCATTTTCAGTGTCTAATGCTTTGATTCTAGCTTCGGCGTTAGCTGTTATTAAAACAATAAAGATGAAATGATATTGACATTTATTAACAAAAAAAAGCAAACATCCCATCCCTATCAAGAATTCAGTCTATATAATATTTTATGTTGGTAGTTTTTTTTGATTATTTTGTCAAAAAATAATTCACTATATGTTTGTATTAAATAAATTATGTTGTTCGTGTATAAATACATTCGCGACTTATCTGTACAATTATTGTATCTTTGGTCGTTTTTTCGAACCACAAATAAAAAAACGAAAAATGCGCCACTCAAATTTAATACCACACGTACAATCAGGTCTGATTTCACCCAAATCCTTTTCTGCTTGTTCTAATTTCGCCTGGGTTTCTCGAAGATGCTTCTTAGTTTCCAACAATTCCTTTTGTTCCTTCCTGGGTTCATTTTTATTTATACTTATAAAGATAAAAATGTAAAATATATTAATAAAAAATTAACAAACGAGCTTTAAAAATAAATTTGTCAACAGATTAATGAGGAAAATTAATGTTGCTAAATATAATTCATGATGAAAAACTAACCCATTAGATGAACTGCCTTTCTCAGCTTGCAATCGTTCAAGTTCAGATTCTAATATAAGTTTTTCCTTTTGGACTTTAACGTAGTCCTAAAAAAATATATAACGGTAAAAAAATCGCAAGAAATCGTGAATATTAATAAAAATCCATAAGTAAAAATTGCAAATAAAACCTTTAAGTTACCGTTTCGAATTTAGCCTTAATGCGATTAGCGTCTTCAAGCTTATGTTGTAATACTAGAAGTTCAGCGTCAGAATTTTCATCTAGATTCTTACCCTCGCGTAAACTATTTAATTCGCGTTCAAGTTCGTTGATTTTCAATCTCAAACTTGTCTTTGTGGTGCCTTTAAGGGCTTCAAAAAGTTCAGTTTCTTCGATATGTTGATCAATTTCGTCTGGTTCAACCTTTTCATCATCATCATCTAATTTTAGAGGCTCTCCTGTGTAATGAAAACGATAATTTATGAAAAAAATCCATCCAAGTATTCCTCATAACAATAATTATCAATTGAAAAAAATAAAAATAAAAATGGTTTATAAATTATTAATTTACCTTCACCTAACTCTAATTCCCGTAATCGATCTTCCAATAAATGTATAGTTTCCATATCACGTGAATGAGCCATCTCGTACGATTCAATTTTTGACCTCATGTGTTTATATTCGTACTCGAATTTATTCTTTTGATTGACTAATTCAGTCTTTTCAGTCTGAAGTAGGTCAATTTGTTTTTTATAGTCTTCCATTAATGATTTGAATTTAATTACTTTATTGTATTCTTCTTCAATAAATTGGTTACGGTCAATGAGTGTGCGATTTTCTTGTTCTGCATTCTAAAAAATATGAATTCACAGTTAACATCAAATATATAGTCTATTGCTCTTAATAATTTTAACTTTCTACCTTCAAAGTTCGCCGTAAATCCGCCCCTTCTTCTAATTTCTTCTTATATTTTTCAATAACATTTTCTGTTTTCTTGAGTTTGTCAGCAGCATGTCTGTACTCGTCAAGTTGGTCTTTTAATTTCGCAGTTTCATTTGCTTGTTCAGTAAGTGTTTCGATCTATTTATTTATTCAAATCAATTTTGTTTGATATAATTTTCGAATTTATAGGCAATGTGAAAAAAAAACTGACTTTACGAGTAAGCTCAGCTATCTGGGACTCTCTCTCAGTAAACTTTTTTGTTGCTTCTTCACGTTGTTTATCGTATCTTTTCCTGTAATGTATATAAAGAAATAAGAGCATAATAAATAAATTTCATTACTATACCATCATCAAATGAATGAACAAATATAAATGTAATATAATACTTGCAATTCATTCTGAAGTCTGTCAATTTCTGTTCTCAAAACAAAGTCTGCTTTTCCGGTTTGTGTAGAATGGTCTAAAGCAGTTTCCATATCTTTCAGCTTCTGATTCAAATCTTCTACTTCTGCCCGTAAGTCGTCCTATTATTATTATTTTTTTTTTTCAGAAAATTTATTTCTTTTCATTTCACGGAACATTTTATATTTTTCTTAATTTTATAAAGATTTACGTACACGTTGATTAGTCAAATTTTCACGTTCATCCAGTGAAGCTCTGTATGCTTTTTCTAGAGCTTCTTTCTCAGACTTGATTTTTTCTAGATCCGCATTGACTTGTTTTAGTTCACCTTCTCTGTATAAGTAATAAAAAGTGAAAAATTTAAATTTTTCCTTGATAAACTATATAAAATAAATAAATAAATATATAATTACACGTCGAATGACGACTTTCTTGGCGGTCCTTCGGAAATAGGTTCACCCAATTTATTCATAACCTAAATGTTATCGATCAATCAGAAAAGATTATATTTTGTATACCTATTAAATTAAGCACTAAATTTACAACATACCCCTTCAATAGTCAACATCAAACCCTGTTGAGATTTTGGACTTAAGTGTTGAATTTTTGTAATTTGTCCCGCCTTATCTTTATAAGTTACGGCCAATGTTACAATTAACGAGTATAGCTTCATTGTCTCGACTAAGTTATTTTCTTTTGCAATAGCATTAAAATTTGGAGCTTCAAGATTTTTAATATTCGTATATCCAAGGTTTTCCTCATAATATCGTGTAAGGAGTAAGTGTAATTTTTTGAGTTTATTGATTTTCATCACCCAATTATCATCATTACTCCGAGAAAGCAGTTTAAACCATTTTGGATCGCTGTTCATGTCCAAACATAAGTTAAATCAAAACACTTCCACTAGTTCTCTATAATATGTTTTGTAAATTTCCAAATATAACACTTACATGTTTACAACTATATCAATCAATACATTGCAATCGGAAAGTTCGCTTAAAGTAATTGGACGTACATTTTCAAAAGTGTTCGCCTAGTTAAAAAAAAAAAAGAGAGAGAGTTTACAATTTAACATAAGATAAATACATCCTGAAGTCTATAGTCTAATTGTGACATCTAAGTCTAAAAATAATTTGTACCCAGTCCACAAAGGCGGCGGCGGTTATATCTTGTTGTTCCATAATTGATTGACTATTTTAAATTGCTCTTAAAAACGAATAACATGGACAAGGCGGGGAATATATTTACAATGAAGTGAATGTTCACTTCTTAGTTCCTTTGTTGATAATAAGTTTTTTTTTATTTTCTTTAAGAGAAATTTTCGAATCACAGTTACTAATTGAATTTCGATTGTTTTGAGGACGGTTATGGATTGAGGAAATACAATTAATTGTATAGATGTGTAGATATCGCGAGTAACTATTTCTTTCAATGTTCGATCACAAAAAAAGTGGCTTACGTCAACTATGCTAAACCATTAAGCACTAAATAAACTCAAATTTTGGTCGTTCATATCGAAACATCACTATGATTAGCGATAATCACAATTCTCATTACAACACATTGTTTAACATAGACATAATATGTGAGTTATGCGGAAGTTTTTGATCGTTAGTCCGTTTCTCTGTTACCCGTAACGTATATCTATATTTAGGGCTTCTGCCAAAACTATTAATTTTGTAGAAAATAATCGCGTTTATAATTTGTGATATCCAAAGGATTCACTCAAATTTTTTACTCGAATACATAATAAAGTTAACATAAACTATTGTATGATTATATGCACGATGATAATTCTGGACATATTTGAAAAAGTTCTCTGAACATATTTGGAATAATTGAAAATTTAATACTGTGCTTACCTTTCATGGAAGAGAAAGAATGTTAACATTTAAACCAATAAAACAAGCGTCAAATGACATGTTAGAATTGGAGAAAGTGAATCCATGATTTAAAAACGCCAATCAAGTATTGAGGTTTTTTTATCTAGATCCAAAAAACTAATACATAACGTGAGTACCTCATCTAACTAAATTTGGTTGTACGAATTCTAATCTAAAGATTGGCGAATTCATATTTGCCACGTATTTTAAGTTTTTGATAAAATGAATTATTTCACAATTAATTTTCATTAAATTACATCAGTAGAAATGAAGTTAAAAGAAATTCCACGCACAGCGACGTTTGCCTGGAGCCCTGGTCAACATTTACCTATAATAGCCACGGGAACTGTAGCTGGAGCTCTTGATGCTTCGTTCTCTAATACCACTGAATTAGAACTTTTCAACCTAAATCTTAAATCTGATTCTGGTGTTGAGTTACAAAGTGCTGGAGTTGTCAATAGTAACGCGAGGTTTGTGTCGTTTAGTTAAAATATAAATCAATAACGGAACGCAAAAAATTTTCGTGCCTCGAACTTAGATAATTTACCAAAATTTTATTAATAACTTGCGAATCAGATTCGATCGTCTTGTATGGGGAATTGCAAATGATAAGACATACGGAATCGTTGCTGGTGGTTTGGAAAATGGTGAAATAAGTTTATATGATCCGGCAATAATTTTGGAGGGTGGAGAGTGAGTTAAATTTTTACAGAATTAAATATTAATTGTGTTGAGTTATAAGGAAATTCAATATGCTAAACGTTTAGTTTATAATTATGAAATTTATAAATAAAGCTCCGAAAAAGCACTTATTCTAAGAAATAACGCACATTCGGGAAATGTTCGTGGGTTACAGTTTAACCCTTTTCAAATTAATTTGTTAGCATCAGCAGCAACCAATGCTGAGGTATTACAATGTCGACATTTTGGGTTATAATTTTATCAATTATATAACTATTTCTTAAGGAATTATGTTAATTTTCACGTAGATATTTATTTGGGATTTAACGAAACCAGATAAACCTTATACTCCAGGCGCAAGATCGCCGAAACTTGAAAATATTACCCATTTAGCTTGGAATAATCAAGTACAACATATCTTGGCTACCTCTTCAAACACAGGATCTACTGTAATATGGGATTTAAGAAGTAAAAAGCATGTAATGGATTTATCATTTGTGGGTTCAACTGTTACTGGAGGTTATAGTATGGGAAACATGAACATGGCTCCTGGAATGAGCACAGGAGTTAGAAGAGGAACAACTGCAGTTGCTTGGAGTCCGGATAATGTACGTTATCGTTTCTAATTAAGTAATAAAATATATGATAATATTAATAACAGACCTTTCAAAACCAAAGGCTACACAAATTATAACCGCGTCGGAAGATGATATTAATCCTGTGATTGTCATGTGGGATGTCCGTAATGCTCATGCTCCTGAAAAAGTATTTGTTAAATTTTTATTTATTTTATTACATATATATATTTTATTTTTTTTTTATTTACTTTTTTATCATATTTGATTTTTAGATTTTAACAGGTCACCAAAAAGGGATTTTGTCACTTTCTTGGTGTCAGAGAGATGCTGATTTGTTGCTATCATGTGGAAAAGATAATAGAGTTTTGTGTTGGAACCCCAGAACTGCCGAAATAATAGGAGAGGTATTCTGTCGGTTATATTTTTCCTTACTTATGTTATTGTAACATGATTTTTCATTTCATGTAGCTTCCTGCAAGTTCAAATTGGGTTTTTGACGTTCAATGGTGTCCTGGTAATCCTGATTTATTTGCTTCCGCCTCTTTTGATGGAAAGGTATTAAATTAATTAAATGAATTTTCTCAATTATCATAATTAATATTAATATGTTTAATTCTTTTTTTGTAATTTAAAAAGGTTAATGTACACTCTCTACAATCTGGTCAAAATGAAAATGATCAAAAAGTTTCGTTGGACAGCAATGATCCGTTCGCTCAGATAGCATCAGCATATGAACCCTCTCTCACGCTTAAACAACCTCCAAAATGGCTCAAAAGACCCGTTGGAGTAGCTTTGGGATTTGGAGGCAAATTAGTATCTTTTGATAATAAAAGACATATTGTTAAAGTTTCAACAATAATAACTGAACCTGAAATTGTTCAAAGGTCAACTGAACTTGAATCTTTAGTCGAATCAAAATTATTAGATAGTTTCTGTGAAAGTCGGGGCAAAAGTGCTTCTAATGACTTTGAATCAGAAAATTGGAAGGTACTTCACACAATGTTCAATGAAAATGAAAATGCAAGAGAACAATTAGTTAAACATCTGGGATTCTCAAAAGATGACGTCGTGACACAAATAACTATTGCGACAAAAAATATGAGTATTAATGGTTCTGTTAATACTGAAAAAACTCAAGTTGAAACAGATAATGAGCAAAATGTAATAAAGCGAAAAAGTGTTGCAGAAGCAGCAGGTGTGCCATTACCTACCAGTCCTATTGATGTTAAATCGGAGAAAAAAGATTATGGTGTAGTGGATAATTCCGCTGTTAAATCTGAAAATGTAGATGAACTTTTTTCTGGTTCATCTACGTCGGGTGGTCCTTCTGATGCTTCAGATTTCTTTAGTTCTGAAATTATTCCTGATGCTTTTCCTATTCATAGTGCCACTTCAACTTATAATGAGCCAACATCTTCATCTATTAATAAAGGAATCTTTAAGATTTATCCTGCTCAAGAGTCAGATGTGGATAAACTTATTACAAGGTCTATCGTACTTGGTGATTTTGAATCTGCTGTGAACTTATGTTTAGAGACGGATAGATTATCAGACGCTGTCCTTTTAGCTGGTTGTGGCGGTCCTGAGCTTTTACAGAAAACTAGAAAAATATATTTTGAAAAAAAGGCTTCCAATGTTCCTTACTTGCGTTTACTTCAAAGCATTGTATCTGAAGATTTATCAGACATTGTATATAATGCAGATTTATCTGAATGGCAAGAAGTAGTAGTTGTTCTTTGTACTTTTGCTCGTTCTGAAGACTTTAGTGGATTATGTAATGCCTTAGGCCAAAGACTTGAGCAAGAATATCGCAAATTGTACGGATCTTCCAATGACAGATCAAAAGGAATGGAATACATGAAAAATGCAGTCTTCTGCTACCTTGCAGCAGGAAATCTCGAAAATGTCGTTAATATTTGGATTACTGAGCAAGAAGAAGAAGAACGTGCTGAGCTAGAACGCGCTGAGCTAGAACATGCTGATCAAGGTGATGCGAAATCCTCTAGTTTTAGATATTCATTGCATGCCAAATTTCTTCAGAGCCTTATTGAAAAGGTTACTGTATTTCGTAAGGCTATCGATTATGTTGATCCCGCTTTGGTTCAGAATTTAGATACTAATACTACAGAATCAAATAATCAACTATTTAAGTTATCAAAATTATATGATAAGTATGCTGAATATGCTGAGATTTTAGCATACCAAGGTCGATTAACCACAGCAATTAAGTATTTGAATTTAACTCCATTAGAGTACAAGAAAACAGATGCTAACAATATCGATCAGTTAGCTGTGATCAAAGAAAGATTATACCATTCAGGTGTTGATATTGGCAGTATTAAAGCACCCGCATTCCCATTTGAACATGTTTACGTTGGAGCTGAAGGTGAAATAAATCCTTCTCTTGCTCCTATAATGGGCAATATAGATGGAACTACTTATCAGCCACAAATAAATCCAAATCTTTATAACAATCAACAAGTTGCTCAACCACCATATTACAATCAATACGCTTATAATCAACCTGTTGCGGCTAATGCTCCATTCCAACCCATGTCTCCAATTCAGCAGCAAATTCAGCAGCAATCAATTCAACCTATACTTCAACAACCTCATTATAATAACTTCCCTCTATATAATGCCCCAATCCAGAACCAACCTTATAATCCGGGATATCAGCCTGCCTTTCCTGCTTATAACCAGCCACAGTATCAGGATAATGCAAATTTTATTCCACCTCCACAAATTGCCAATACAAATATTCAAAATGTAAACCCTCCACAGCAACAAGCAGAAGTTCCAGCTGCATATAAGAAAAATATACCTAATTGGAATGATCCACCAGTTGTATCCTCGGCAAAAAAAGTTGCTCAAGCACAAGTAAACAAGCTACAGCCAATCACATCTCCTTTCCCTTCAACTTCTCCTGCATTACAGGGAACAGTACCACCGCCCGGAGTTCAAGGAATATTTCCTCCGAATCAAAATATACAGGGAATAGTACCACCGCCCGGAGGGATATTTCCTCCGAATCAAAATATACAGGGAACTATCGCTAATTTGCCGCCGCCAGCAAATCGTGCAATAGCTGCAGCTACTGGATATCAACCTAATTCCCCAATGTCCCCTCAATCAGCAGGTAATTATTATCCACCACCGCCACCACCACCAAAAATGGGAGCGCCATCACAGTTACATGCGCAACAAATACAGAATCCTCAAAGTCCTCAATCACATTATGGACCTGGTCGTTCGGCTCCCACTCCTCCACCTCAAGCTAACGCAGGTTACCAAGCTGCTGCATATGGAGGTCAAAATACTACACATACTGGGTCCAATTTAGTTTATGGTGCCCCAACGCCCCAACCACCCATTCAACAACAAGTTCCAACACAAAATCAACAACCAGTTGCACAACCTGCCAGAACACCTACTCCAGTTAAAACACCTACTCCAGTTAAAACACCTACACCTGTAAATAAACATCGTAAGTTTTTTTGAAGTTTTTTATATTTTTGCCTTTTATTTCATTTTAAATAATGATTTATTATAAATAAATTTAGCTGTTGGCGATAGAAATCATATCCCGACTTCACAAAAACCAATCTACGATGTGCTCTCCAAGGAATTACAAAGAGCTAAACATTATCATACTTCCGTATGTTAATCTAAAATTTTATTAAATGAATTTGGATTTGTTATTTAATTATTAATTATACTGTAACAAATAACAGGGTCCATGGGGAAAACAATTGCTTGACACAGAAAAACGGCTTAATACGCTTTTTGACGCATTGAATAATGAAGAAATCTCCGAACCGATCATTGATTCCTTACTTAAATTAGTTCAAGGTTAGTATAAATGAAATGATTTTACCTTGTCAATATAATATTACAATATATTTCACTTTATAGCTATGGAAATACGTGATTATACCACTGCTAATAATCTTCAAGTTAACCTATTGACATCGTACTCGAATGAGACAAAATGGTAAATGATAAATTTTTTATCAGATTTTCCTTTCTGGTTATTAAATTAAAATTGTTTTATTTATAGGTTAATTGGTATTAAGCAATTAATTAATATTATGAAAAATACGCCATAACTTAACATAACAGTTTGGTAGGGCATCTTTATTCAGTTTGATTATATTATTATTAATGAATAATTTTAAATCTTTCGAATTTTAGGAGTCGTATAATATTTAATCTATTTAAAAGTAGTACAACTTGCTAAGTTCTTTGTTATTAATAAATTAATTATGATAGAACTTAATGCTGTTAAAAAAGCTTTTTTTTTTGGTTTTTATTTTTACTTGCTAAGTTCTTTGTTATTAATAAATTAATTATGATAGAACTTAATGATGTTAAAAAAAGCTTTTTTTTTGGTTTTTATTTTTATTTTACTGATTCTAGTGTAGAAAAGGATTTTAAAAGTAATATATATAATAGACACAAATTGTATACAAAATAAACATTGGTAGTTTCCTTTACGCGTAATTGTATATAATTTATAAATACACATAACAAACGATTTATTCAATATATTGTCTATGTTTAAAAGTGTTTTTATTCTCAACTATTTAATAAATTTGGGAAATAAAATAAACATAAAACAAATATATTAAGAAGGGAGAAAAAAGCTGAAATACAAATAATAATAAAAAAATTATTTCAAAAAAGGAGATTACTAACTAACTAAACTAGCTTTATTTTTTGCAGTCTTGATCACTTTTCAATGATCCAATTTTTCATTTATCATCTAAAACATATAGAAAAAAAACAAAATAAATTATGTATTGAATATTATAATAAAAAAGTAATGCAAGTTACCAAATATACTTTTAGAATTCTTTGACCATATCTCCGAAAGTATTTTCTCCAGAGTATCTATTGACAAAAAACGGGTATGTGATTTAATATATAGTAGAATAATGAAAACATTTAATTACTTAAGTTACTTACGTTATATATAAAAAACCATCGTCATCTTTATGTTCTTCATAAATACTTGACATAAGAGCAGCTGTGGGTGGGAGAACTTCGTCCACAAAAATGAAGATCGCTTTCTCAGGGCTCAATTTAATACGTTTACGAATAACATATACAAACTGGCCTACAGTAAGGTCAGCTGGGACAAGGTATTTTTTTTTATCAATTGTGGCGATGTCTGATTTCTCTACTTTCTCACAAATAACCTGTTGAACATAATCAAGTAGAATGAGAAGATATATTGAAATCAGAGTGCCGGAACGGCTTTTTTTATTTGCGTTAATTAATAATATTTACCGGAATTCTGTCAGGATATTTTTGTCGAATTCTTTCTGCTTCAGCCTTACGTTTTTCTATTAGACAAAAAAAAATGATTCAATGAAAGTTTATAATATTACAAGTAAAAAACGATATAAAAGCATACCAAAAGGGTGTTCGTCCTTAAATTTTGACCTCATATTTGTTTGTTTGTTTTAATATTACAAATTTACCAGAACTAAAAGGTTTCAAGACAGCAAAATTAGAGAGTTTTTAGTTTTAAAAAAAGAGAGAGGTTGGGATAAGGGGGTATTTATAAAGCTTTCAGATGAAACATCCGGAGTTGGTTGAACCGATTTGTCAAACTGCGCCCGCGTGATTTTCATCAAATCATTCGTCAAGCATGCGTAATCACTTCTGCGTCAAAAAGGTCCTATGACTACATGACTCATCAAAAATTAAAAATATAAAAATACAAAATCACTTGTCGAATCACACCCTCCGCAGAATTACATTGTATACTGCGGAATATGGTAATATGGTCTTCCATTAAAATAAATTCTTTTGTTCAATGACATTTAGTGATATAGTAGGTACAATTGACCGAAGTGTAAAAGAACTAATAATTTATCATTAAAAACAACATAAATCACGAGCTAAGGACCTTAAGGCTTAAAAGGCTCAAAACATTCAGGAAAACTTTATTTTGGTATGTAGAAATTGAAAATTACAAATAAAGTAAAAAAAAAAAATAACAAGTGAATGCAATTATGCATATCTATTAAATGTACCTCTAACTAAATAACTTTCAGTAACGGTATCATCTTTCTTCTTTGAGTAAATAGATTGAATGGCTTTTGATTGTTTAGTTTTAGCGGATGTATTAACCAAGTGTTCCTGAACTTTTTGGTTAACAACAGCAGCAACACTATTACCACCAATTCCACTATTAGTAGTGACATTAACTTCTGATTTTACTAATGGTTTCTTTGAAGATGACTGTTTTGAGTCTTCCTCATTGTTATTCTCCCTTTTTCGTTTTTTATTAGGCGCAGTAGACGATGATGATTCAGCTATCATGTCTTCACTAGAATCTTGTTTTGTTATAGTCTTATTTTTCTTTTTCTTTTCTTTTGCTTTTGTTTTTCTCTCTTCTAAAGCGATTTTTAATTTTTCTTGTTCAGCAGGACTTGGATTTAAAGTAATAATGTCATCTTGTTTAAAAGGTTTTCCGCACTATAGTTAAATAAAGATCAGTTAAAGATTGAATTTACATAATAAAATATCGGAAATTTTTGTTAATCTTACCTGTATGCAAGTAGAACTTGGTACTTCTTTTAAACCTTGTTCAGAAAATACACAACCGCAAGTATTCAAATAAACAAATTTTAATTTACCATTCATTTCTTTCAGAGTAATAGGACAAACAAATCTAGATACCATTCCTTGATCAAAATGTGCTATACTAGCTCCAGTTGTTTCTTTAAATGCTGGATTAGCGGCAAGTTTTAACGGCTTAACATCCTATTTATTTGATATTACAGTTATTATTCTGAATATCCCTATATAAGAAGAAATAAAGCAATTATAAAAATTTCTTTTAAATACCTTCAAGTTGGAAATATGAGAGCAAATTATGTCTCCGTCGCCATACGCATTCTTATTTAACAAGTACTCTATAATAGCATCTTTATTATATAGTTTACCTAGCGCACACGCAACAACAGGATCTTGTAACAGTTTCTGAAAAAATACAAATAAGTTAGACAAGAATAATCAAATCTAAGAACAAAATTATTTTCCTAATACCTTAGATAAAGCACAGTAAAACCAAGTAGCTATTTTCATTGCATTTTGATCTGGTCTAACTTCTTTTTTCTTTTCTTTAACGAGTTCAATACGTTTAGGAATTGAGCCTCCATCGTTACCCATTGTTTGTAATAATAATAAAGGAAAGAAAAAGTTTAACAGCACGGAATTTGGCAGATAACATTTAAATAATGCAAGTCAACTAGTGAATTTCACCTCACGTGTTAAGTGGCGATATTTTATTACTAATCACGATTTCTTACAAAATAAACATTTTAATAGTGAAAAATTCCAAAAATATACAATATTTTATGTATTAGATTTCATTTTAAAAATTCCTAATTATCTTAATTATCATTATTTTTTTTTGTATAAAAAGATTCTATTGGCTCTAATTAAAATTTCTTGTCTTATTAGCTACGAAGTTATTGAAGTTGTTTAAGTAAAAAAATGCAATATAACAAAAAAATATCTAAATAACCATTTCGGTAAAAATAATGTGTAAAGTTTAAAATAAAATTTAACTTCGACCTCTACGCTTTCTTTTCCTACAATATGATACGGATGATGATGAACTTCTCGATGATAAACTTGATGATCCTCCTGAAGAACTTGAATCACTATCGCTTTCTGAACTTGAGCTGTAACTTGATGATGTTGCTGAAGTATCACTACCACTACCGCTAGAGAATCCTGATGATGATGATGAATCTTCTGATGATGATCTATGACAAAGATTAGATGTTAATATTTCTAATACTTTTAAGCGAAAACTTCTAATAAACATACTCGTCCTTGCGAAGTTTTTTCTTTTTTGGTTCATCTTTTGCTTTCTTCTCTTTCTCTTTTTCTTTTTCTTTCTCTTTCTCTTTTTCTCTCTCTTTCTCTTTCTCTTCCTCTTTTTCTCTCTCCTTCTCTTTTTCTAATAATAATGCTTTTTCTGCAAGCTCTCTCCTATTTCAATATAGTTTATTAAAATTATAATGTTAAACTGGCTGATAATTAATCGTTCAAAGAACTTTATCTATTTACTTTGATTTAAATTCATCTGGGAGTTCAAGAGATATAGGTTTCAAGGGTTTTGTGAGTTGCTGCGTTCTAGTTGGTCGAGCTTTATAAGTTGGAGTGTTCTTACATTCGTATGTCTAAAGATCAAACTTAAAATAAAACTAAAACATTAAGTATACTAAAAAAAAACAGAGATAATTACCCAATGACCGGTTTCTAAGCACTTTTGACATTTCGTGTTAGCCGAGGGCTTCGATTCCGTACTCGGATATCTAAAAAAATTATTAAGAAAAAAATAATACTTACATAAACTACTTTTATTTACTGTGAAAGCATAAATATCTTACCTACGTCCGGTAAATCCTATTTTCTTCATAGTTTTAGTTTAATAAAATTAGAAAGTTTGATATTTGTCAAGAATATAAACTTTATAAATTCATAACAAGCAGCGCGATTTACGAAGTCTTTTCCCAAACGTTATTAACATCAATGTTTATGCACGTGATTAAGTTGAATGAAAAAAAACGTGACTAAGTTGAAATGCTAAACTTTATTTTATGTATTTTTATGTGCACAATTTAAGATTATATAAAATAGTTGATATTAAGGTATTTATACAATCTATTCATTATTCATACATTAATAAATATGAATATGTACTATATAATTAGAATAATATTTATATTAATTCCGCATCTTCTAAGAATCGATATTCGAATCTAAAAGTGTTGATAAATATACTACTTTAATTACCATACATATAATATTAGTCGTTGATATTTACCACTACTCACCTAAATTCTGTCTTCTTTCGTTGACACCAAGCACCTTCGTAATCAAAATAAATGTAAGTTCCTTGCTCGTATTCGTCCGTAATTGCTTTTGGTTCTTCATGTCTTTGGAACCATGTCAGATATTTTTTATGAAACCTCCATGACTGTTTTTTTAATTCTCTTGCAGCAAGATATCTTTGTAATTACAAAGAATAAGTTAATATATGGTAAATAATTGTAATATAATTTTAAAGATGATGAAACATACTGTTGATAAGTTCCTTGCTGATAATAAAATATAAAAAAGAGTGTATCGAGATCAAATTTCTCGAATAGTGCAGGATTATCGAAAATTTGTGGTGGATTCTGTGGATAGAAACCCGATGTGGGATATGGATTACGTGGCGCATAATACTTGGGTCTAAATAAAATTACAAATAATTAGAAAAAATATATTCTATCTGTTCAACGAATAGAATAATAATTTACCTTTCAGAATCTAAGCTTTCCGGGACATATTGAAGACTGGCATCAAGCATTTGTTGAACATGAAATCCATCTTCTTTGCCTAAGACTATTTAATAAATAAAACATAAATGTCAAAAAAAAAGAAAAATATAAAGTTAAGTACTAAAGGCGTGATGTAGTACCCCGCTGCTTACATTTCTCTTCGGCTGCCTCATATGATTGTACTAAATCGGCAAGTGCAGCTGGTATACGACTTTCTGAAGAAGATCCTTGGTTAGAGGAACCTTCTTGTTTATTTGGTTCAGGCGGGCTAATATCAGATGAAGGTTGTATAGGCTATTGAGAAATAAGATAAATGTTTAAGATTAAATAAAATAGAAATATGTGAATTTTAAATCATAAATTTCAGACCTGTATAGTTGCTGTTTGTGTTACAGATATGCTCTCTCGAGTTTGTGATTGCGACTGTGACGATAAAGGATTGGCTTGTTGTTGAAGAATAGGTTGCAAAAGAGATGTTGATGTTTGACTTTGCTATTAAAACAATGAATATTAAAACACACATAATAGAAAAAAAAAATCTCATTATTGAAATAGTTGAACAACCTGTATATCATTGGATTGTGAAAATTGCTGCTTGCTGATATCAGCGAAATCATGTGAAATATCTGAAATAAAAAAAAAGAAAGAAAAAGATATTAATCAAACAACATAGTATTGATGATAAATTTAAAAATTCAACCTTTTTTAGTATCGCCAGCAGGCTGTGATTGTGTTGATAATTGTGAATGTGGAATTGGTTGTGTTGTTGTCGGTAGCGGCTGGGGTTGTGGTACTGATGGAGCCGCTATGTGTATACGCATATCGTTTTTTAGTGAATAGATAATTTATTATATACAGACGAAAATAGTTACCTTGTTTTGTTACAGCTGCTATAGTTCGTGTTTGTACTGAAGTAGGTAGTGCAGCTTTTGCCTGAGGGAATGATATCGTTGTGGATGGTGGAGACTGAAGATTGTTAACAGTCGTAGTGTTCGCAAGCGTAGGTATGGGAGTTGGTAATGCAGAAGCTTGCACTGAAGTCGTAGGAGTTGGCGTTGAAACCGGTGGAGGAGGAGGAGGAAGTTTTGGCTTGTCTATAAAAATAATACAAACTTAATCACTTATCTTCATGACGATAATGTTTAATTATTTATACCTTCTTCCTTCGGCCGAGGAGCCGATTCAAAGGTAGTGAAGTTATCTGTGTAATAAAGTTAGGTCATTAAATTTTATCGTTTATATTAACGAAATCAAACTAATAAAAACGTCGTACTTATTGATGGAACAGACACCGGTGTTTTAGGTGCAATTCTTGATGTGGGTGAAGTTGAAGGACTTGATAGCTATTTGAATAAGTATAGTATTACAATATATATATATTCTGTTCTTAATATGGCTAAATATAAAACATAAAATATCAATCCTTGCCTCCTTTTGTGGTGTCCTTGGCTCTGTATACGAAATACCTAAAATAAATAAAATATTAGATAACGAAATCTTTATAATAGTTATACGATGATAAATAATATTTTTAAATAAATATACCTCCATCAGTTATGGAGTCATGACTACTATGATGTTCTTCATTTGCAATACCCCATAACTCCTCCTCCTCTTCAAGATTCAAATCATCGTATATATTTTCATCCTCGGCGAAGTCAGGTTCCTTAAAAACATTAAATAGTAAATTCAAAAACTTCAAAAAAAATATTAATGCACAATAAAATATACCAACCTGATTACTTTCAATGTAATAAATAATATCATCTTTAATGTGAATAACCTTAAAAATTTATATATGATTAGTTACAAGAATATACAAGAGATAAATATTATTTTTTTATATTTTAATACATACCTTCTCTGGAGGAATATTACCATTTTCTAATAACCGCAATATTAATTCTAGCCGATTGACATGCCATTTATGTCTTTCTATAATATTTTCTACCTCACCCAATCGTTCAACTTTCTGAGAATCCTTCCGACTTTTTTTCACAACACTTTGTAATTGTTCAACTTCAGCTTCAGCGGTTTCAATTTGTGTGCTTAGAGCATCAATTTGATTTGATACCCATTCACATGTTTCCATTTTTTCTTTTTCCTTTGGATCCATTTTCGTTGACTGTTGTAGGCCTTCTTTAGAGTATGCCTTTGTCTTCATCTCTTTCTCACACGCTTTGAATTTTTCCATTTGCTAAACATGAACGTATTTATTTAGAAAAATAAAAGTAAGCATGTGGTCATAATTTTGAATGGATCAAAGATAAATAATTCTTGTTTACATGTTCTATCAGACGTCTGTTTTCAAGAAGTGCCCGCTTATCTTTTATATCATTTGAAGAAATCCATGTTTTTATTTGATCTCGATGTCTTTGAAGTTTTTTGATTTCTTTCTTCAAATCTTGTTCTAATTTTTCTTTTTGATTAGAATTTGTTGTTGCTTGAATTTTATCGAAAATGCCTTCAAAAGTTTCGACTCCTTCTGCAACTTTTTTGAGAACACGATCGATCTCGGCTAAAATAAAATATTTAAGAAAAAAGATAGAGATTATCTTAACCACATGCAAAAATTTTTAAGAACTTACTTTGTAACTTTCTATTCGCCATAATGTAACAAGTATTTAAACTTTTTATTATTCAAAAAAAGGGTTATTTAGTGCAATAGAAATCTATTCTGTGATGTTCGTTTTTAGATAAAAACAATTACATTATTCAGTCACGTGTAATGTATACGACTGTCGTCTGTTGATCAATATGAATATCGTTTTGATCAATTTGAATAATTGTCCGGAGCGAAGCGAAGGACTATATATGTCTACGCACTATGATGATCTATGGAAATAACGTGTAAATTTTCAATCACGTGAGTTTCTCTGTCCAGGAATTCCAAGGCGTTATGCTGCTAATCAGCAGAAAATTACCGGAATTCCAAGGCGGTATGCTGCTAATTAGTAGAATATCGCTACATCTTTATTTATTATACCTCGCTCCGGACACAACGGTTCCCGTTTCCTAGTGGGTAAAAGGTAAGAAATTATTACTATATCATACTATATCATACTTAAATTTAATTGTTAGGATACTACGCCTATTTATTGTATATCAATAGTTTATCAAATTAGCATAAATATTTATATTGTAAAAAAGAGCAAAAACATGAAATATATATAAAAAATTATGTCAAATTACATCTTCACAATACTTTGAGGTGTGTCTTGAATTTTAAGGACAGAAATACAAAAATATATATATTCCCTCTAACAGAATCTACAAGGTACTTTTTGAAGAAATAAACAAAATCGAATACTTTTTTTTCTGATCTTTATAAAGAAAAAACCCACACCATATATAATAACTAAATAATGTATTAAAAAAAAGGAGTTACAATAAATTGAGTGATATAATAATGTTCACTGCGAAGTGATAAACTCTCAATCTAAAAGCATACATGATAATTCGACAAATAAATTGTAACAAACTAACGGATTCAAATTATTTAACAGCAATTCCTTACCAAAACCCCACCCTTTAATATCACCTAACAACAACCTCCACTTTGTTGTTGTGGTACTGATGTACCTGGACCAACTTTAACGGTTTGCTTCTGAGTTCCCGGAGAGACGGTTGTTGTACCCATTCTGTTAAAGAAGTAATGTTACAAAATCTGTATTTAAAAGAAAAGAAAGTTTCAGCGATTATATCATAATCTGTTTTATACCTGTCTTTAATTTGTTTAGCCATTGTTAAGAAAGCTTGTTCGACATTCGTAGCATTCTTGGCAGAAGTCTCCAAGAATGGAATATTCAATTGCTCGGCAAATTCCTAAACGAAGGAAAATTTAATTTAATGAAAACAAAAGAACGAGGCATACTCAAATTTTCAACAAATGAGTTAGACAGGCACCTTAGCAGTTGTATATTCTACTACTTTTTTATTCGTCAAATCGCTCTTATTTCCAACTAACAATTTATTAACACCTTCACAAGCATAACGGTCAATTTCCTGAAGCCATTGCTTTACATTTGCAAAAGTATCTTGATCAGTAACATCATAAACAACAATGATTCCATGGGCACCGCGATAATAAGAAGAAGTGATTGTACGAAATCGTTCTTGTCCAGCAGTATCCCACTAAATAAATTATACAAATTGTCAATTGCTATAGTATATTTTGAAAAATATCATTATTATGAAATACGTACGATTTGTAACTTAACGGTTTTGCCTTCAAGATCAATAGTACGAATTTTCTAGGTATTGTTATAAAAAAAACGAGTCGCTATTAGATTAACATACGCGTTTGATACTTCTTTCATGGTTTACGTTCACTTACAAAATCAACCCCAATAGTACTAATATAACTCTCTGTATATGTATCATCGGCGAATCGAAGTAGCAAGCATGATTTGCCAACCCCAGAATCGCCGATCAACAGAAGTTTAAAGAGGTAGTCACTATAATTTATTAATAATAGTAAAGAAATAAGAGTTAAATTCGTTATAAAATTAACAATATTAGGCTTATGTGCTTATTCGTTCCAACATGGCGCAGAATAGCAACGAGATGATGACCAAAAATAACAACCAAGCGTTGAGTATGAAAGATAACATTAGTACGAAATTAATAACGCTAACGGTTACTTTTACATTACAAATCAGCGTTGTCAATTCGCACCTATGTTGATAGCTTGATTTTCTCAAGGTCATCCCTCCTTCATAAACCTAGTTTAATCCATTGCGGTTCAAAAGTTTAATCTCTCTCTCAAAATCGAACAAAAACAACTCCTACGCAAAGTTGCAAAGGAGAACCTTACTTACTATTCTGGATTCATGTTAGTTAGTTAAAATAAGAGATTATAGTAAATAAAAAAGGAAATTAGAAATAGATAGAAGCAAAGGAGTTAAGTTGGCCAGGAGAGAAAGAGTTTGTGTTAACTACTAACTATGTGGTCACGATAAGAAAGATAACTGTATATATATGAAACCACTACCCCGTTATACCTTTGAAAAACCGTTAAAAGAAGGGAGGAGGGAGTGGCGATGTCATGATTAGATATGACGTGTGGCGAAGAACGGCGAAGCCGCATGATTGGTTATTGGCGGATGAGTTAACTCATGTGATTAAATTAATCGTCAAAGGCTGATGTCATTTCTTTCCACAGAATTCTTATATTTAAAGGCGGATTCTTTGATTTTTTTGACATTTACATAAAATTAGAATTCATCATCGCAAATCATATTAACGTAATTACTAATTATGTACCAATAAGTAAATAATGGTCTGGACCTAATATCACATTTTTTTTAAAGGATTATTCTTTTTATGGAAATAATTGAAATTATCATAATTTCGCCGGCACTATAAAAATTTAAGAATTCGGTTGTCGGGTTTGATCTTGTCTAATCGTTATCTGTTTATGATATCATAAGTTATTGATCTGATAAAATTATCCGTGCGCGATGGGCTAAAAAGTGATGGACAGAATAATAAAATAAAAAAAAGGTTAAAAATAAATAACTAATTGTAGCACAGTAGTTTTGGTTAAATCGATGCAAACAAATTCTTTCAACTCTTTTTACATTTTCTTATTTCCTCATATAATATATATGTAATATGTCTCAACCACTATATTATGATACTTGTGAAGCTTCGACTTCATTGAAAACGCTCCGTATTGTCAACATATTATCTTTTATAGCAAGTTTTGTCGGCAGTACTTATGTTTATATTCTTGACCCAAGAGCTAGAGAAATTACTCATGAATATAACAACATTTTTTCTCCTTCCTTAATTTTGTTAGCAATTTTATGGCCTATAATTTACTTATTAAGATTCGGGTTTGTTTTCTATATTCAATTTAGCAAGGTTTCTATAATTCAAGAAATTGTGACCGAAAGTATTGGCTGGCTATTTACTTTGGCTAACCTTTTTATGCTTGGCTGGTTATGGTTTTTGGTTCGTATATATTTAAAAGTAAATAATTAGAAATTATTGATTTTTTGAAATTTACTTTTTTTTTTAATTTGTATAGTTGAAACTGAACTTTGTAGGAAGTTCATTTTTTGCTACATTGACCCTATTAGTAGTTAGTCTTGCTCATTACAGACTTACTGTAGATTATCCTCCAAATGAACTCCCTTCTTTACAAGCCAAGAAAATATACTTTTTCGCTCATGTCCCATTTGCATTATACGCAGCATTTTCATGGTTGGATTTATTCCATAATATTTATATGGCAATATTAAAATCAGACCACGAAGAAGCTTATGCTTTACTAGGAATTTTATGTATTTGGATTTTGGGGATTGTTGGGCTTGCATGGACTGTTACCGGTTTGTTTAGTAACTGCCAAAGAGACGGACTTTTTGGTCTTACCATGGCCGCGTAAGTTTTTTTAACTTATTTAAGTTAAAAAATCTAAAAGTAATAAACGTTAAACGTTAACTTTTTTTCTTATTTAGATGTTTGATCGACGTTGCTGTTAGAGAATGTAATATATTGTATTTATCAATTCAAGCTTCATTGTTAGCCGGTTTAATTTTTTCAACTTTTTTATTTTTTTACGTTACTTCTGGATATAAATTAAAATATGCTATTAGCTCCAAATGCCCTTTGATATATGCTCCAAGGGAGCAAAGGCAACCCTTGATACAATAATTGCAAAAAGAAAATTGCAGGGGCTGGATGGTTACTTCAATTAGCTCATTTTTTATTTTTAAAAATTTATATTGTATTAGCGGTTAGATAATTATTGTAAAAAAAAAAAAAAAATTTTTTTTTGTAAAAACGAAATAAAATATTTATAGAATTATAAGACTTATATTTATAATTGGAACGCGTATTGGCATATACATAATATACATAGTCGCGTAAATGAATGCAATAATGAAATAACCATAAAATATCAATATCTTATTCAAAGTTGTTAAACGCGTAGATCAGCCACTGCCAAGCCTTTATGTAACTTCTGTATAGACGAGATTGGTTAGATTAACACTCTTGAATTTGTTCAACTTTTCCTTTTTGGGGGTTTGAATAAATTAGCCAGATGTTCTGACAGTTATTAAGAAAATTTCAATTTTTTAATTTTTTACGAACTTTGAGCGAAATGGACCCTAGACCTTTACCGCCTGGGTTTATTTCTCAATATGATCAAAACACACAACGTTATTATTATGTTGGTATGTAATAATTTAATCAGAAACGTTTGGATATTTTTTTTATACACAACTTTTACTGCGAATTCAATTTTTTTTTTTATAAGGCAAAAGAAACATTAATTTAGTTAAAAAAAAAATTTATTCCATCTACAAGATACAAGTACTGGAGTATCACAATGGAATCACCCTCTTGACGCGAAACCATATTCCCCACCACCAGTGGGGCAAACTTCAAGTCAATATCCTATGCAACTTCCAACCCCTAGTGCAAATCCTAATCCGCAAGGACATTATCCACTTGGATTTACTGATCCAAATTCCTCTGTTACATACGGGGGAGGCAGTCAAATTCCACAATCAAAAGAATATGCTACAATTCCTTACGTAATGCAACAACAATCTTCTAGTCCATATCCACAACCTACACCATCCAATTATCCGTCATCTTATCTACAATCTGGGCCTTATGGGAGTGGAGGCAAACCTACCGAAACTTACCCTTATTCAAGCCAGTCAGATTATCGAGTTGGTCATAATCCTCATGGCGAAGCTCAATCTTATGTAAGCGCTCCATCTCATACACAAGGACCTCCTGGTAGTAAAGTTTCTAAAAAAAAAGAGGATAAAGGAATGGGAGGAATGGGAGGAGCTGGAGATATAGGTAAATTATTATTAGGTACAGGAATGGGAGCCGCTGGAGGTTTATTAGTCGGAAATATGGCTAAAAAGAAATTCAAAAAGCATAAACATAAAGGATGGAAAGGCAAGTGGAAAGGTTGGAAAGGCAAAGGTTGGAAAGGTAAAGGTTGGAAAGGCAAAGGTTGGAAAGGTTGGAAATAGTGGATAGTCCTCAGTGATTCTATTTTAACCTGTAAAAATAGAAAGTGTAAAATAAAATAATAGTAATTTATTATTATAGGATGGAAACAACTTATTTAAATTGGGTGAAATGAATGCCAAATTTTGTTTTATATTACAGGCAGACGCGTGTTGTGCATGCGCGCGTTAATAATTCACGTTTGAGCTTTTTACTTATTGACTTTAAAGAATATTTTCTATAACGATTATATTTGTTCTTATTGATATTGATTGTGTGACATATAAATATACGAAATAAACCTTTTCGTTTATGATGATCATTGAGAAACAATATTCTTGGAGAACGAATAAAATAAATGGGAAATATTTCGCCAAACGCCTTTTTTAGGAAAAATTCAATCAGCTCACTGAACTAAAAAGAAATTAATTGAAATGACAAAGAATTTTTCGCAGAATATCGTGATTTTTTTAGTTAAGAGATATACATAAATGAAACATTCAAAAGGAACAATATTATTTCCCAGCCGAAAACCATTCTCTTTGTGTATGGCTTTGTTGTACTAATACGGAAATTTGTTCCAAATACAGGAAGTTGTGATAAAGTTTATTTTTATAATAAATTTATTTAAACCCACATTTCTGCACCAAAAAAAAAAAAATTCGTTATATTATATTTATTTACTAAATCTTTGATCATCATTTTAAATTTGTATTATATAATAAATAATAAATAGAATGATTTTAAAATTTTTGTCAAAATTTTCGGTTCCAACTCTTCATTTTCAATCTCCAACAACAAAAAATCCCATCACAACATTATATCCAACATTATCACCAGAAGCAGCTTCAAGAACTTCTACAAATCGTTTTAGCATAATGTCAATTGCTTCTACAGCTGAATCTGAAATAAATTCTTGGTCGTCATCATCTGTTGATGAATCCTTTACTCCAATAAATGATATTAAAGAAGTTATACCATTAATTTCTATCAATAACGAACAAGAAGTCCATAGAGTTGCTTATAAAACTTTACAACAATGTATAGATCTATTAAGATGTTTACCAAGCGACGATAAATATACATATGAAAGCAAATTTATCCCTTCAAGCACCATCGGGAAACATGTAAGGTAAATCACTACTAAGAAAGGCAAAGCCGATAAATTTCACGTGACTTACAATTTTAAATTTGCTTTTGCAGACATTTATATGATCATTTTCGATTACTGCTTGAATCTAAACAACTAAAGGAGAAAAGAAAACCATCAGATGGTAATATCGATGATTACGATGATCAATATTATGAAGAACAAAAAGATGAATCTAAATTTTGGATCGTGAATTATGATAACAGATCAAACAACGTAAGTCGCAGTAATAATCAGTGGCGCAGTAATTTCATCCTTAATTAATTTTTATGTAATATGGATTAGATTCCGGTGGAAACATTACGATTAACAGCAATAAAACGACTAGAACAATTACAAACTACAATTATAAATGATTGTACTTTTATACCATTTAACACTCAAATACGAGTTGATGCTACAGTTGATTCCGAGATGTTAATGGATCCGATTCCATTCCAATCTACCTATGGAAGAGAATTATGGTTTTGTTGTCATCATGCGGTAATTATCTCCGATTATGCATTATACACATTTATATTTTACTTACCGTTTGTCTTTTTTTTTATTGTAGATCCATCATTTTGCTTTGATTAGAGTAATTTGTGCTGAACAAAATATTGTGGTTCCTGAAGACTTTGGTATTGCACCTTCTACACTTCAAAAACGATATAAAATGGAACACAACAGCTAAAGAATAAAAAAAATAGAAATTTTATGTATCTTGTTTGATTGTTTTATTTGAAGCATTCATGAATAGATAAGTCTTTAAAAAATGTAATAGTGATATTCTAATATTGAACAACTATTAAATTAGAACTATCAGCATTTAATTTAATTGTACTAAAATTTCCTTTTCTTGTACATAATTATTGTAATAATTTGAATTAATAAAATTATTTTTGATACTTAACAACTACAGTAATTAAAAGGCATTAATACTTTTTTTTAAAGTAAAAATCTGTGCAATCTTAATGTGCGTAATCAGTAACCTTGCTACTATATATTATATGCAAAAAAATTTTAAGATATCTATATGGATTTTCAAGTTAATTTGTGAAATAATGCTGCTGAAAATGCTACATAAAAGATACTAAAATTTGAGAGTATTAAAAAATTTTAGTAAAGTATAAAGGTTATATATTTATTCCAAAGAACATTCATATATTATATATATAATAAATTAAAAAAATTACCAATCACTTTTTAATATATATCAATTCCTTTTTTTTACCAAAAGAATTCTGCTATACATAATAATTTTATAAAATTATATTAAAAATTTTTGAAAATACCATTTGATAAATAAAACTTTATAAATTTTATAAATTTTTTTTTTCAATTTTTTTTTAATATATTACATACAGTATTTATTAACAGATAGTAGAAACAAATACAAATGCGCTAATAAACTATTTATTATTTCAAATTTCCAATAAAAAGACTTCATATATATATAGTCAGTATTGGAATTTGGCCATAGCCAAGAATTTTTTTAGCCAATTTAGCTGGCCAAAATGGCCAATCCTAGCCAAATTTTAGCCAAATAACAAAATACTAATACTTTATTAAGGTTGTATTGACATTTGGTCACAGCCAAACAGCTAAATAACCAACTCCAGCTAAATAGCCAAGTGTTAACACTGATATAGTTATTCAATTATATTATTATACAAGTAAAAACAGATTTCAATAACTCACATTAACCAATTAGCTCTGTAATTTATACATGCAAACTAAAGAAAGCTACTCTGCTATAATCTGTATTACACTATTACTATATTAGTATTATTATAAACAAAAAAGTAATATAAAAAGATAAATTTTCTTATTATCCTTATAAAGTTTTTCCATCTCTTAGCAAAATAGCAAATTGACTTAACCAAACTGCATCTAGACTATAAAAACTATTTAAATTTTCTAAATTTCTGGACCAATCCAATAGGTATAACTAATCTATAAAATTCAAAAAAAATTACTGTATATTATAGATTATACTATTATAGTACTCCCTTATGTATAGTACTTCTCAAAAAAAAGTTATATTCTCTATTGATTTCATTATTTAAATAATCCATCAAATATTTTAAATGTAACATATAACATTACTCTAATAATTTTATAAGTTTAAACATCCTTTATTAATAGTAAAAATTTATATAATAGGGAGGAGTATAGGACTAAACCTCCAAAATTTGCAAAATATCTAAAGTACTATAGCAGGATCTGAATTTGTATAAACTTTATAATTAATTTCTGTTCCAAATGAATAAAGTTATGTGTAAATTTTAGCCTCAAATTTTGCTATCTTGGGATCCAGTGATTGGATTTTAATGATCTTTGGCTTGTTAGATTTATCTTAACAAGACGAACATTTTGATATATAATTTATCTTTTTAGATATAATATTGACTTAAGATATCACATTTTGAAATTTTAGTTACATGGAATTTGAGTTGTTTTAGTAATGTTCAGAGTCCTACTATGGCCTGCAATATATGGTAATAATATTAATCCTTTAAATTCAGCCAATTAATATTTTAATACCTTTAGCTTTTCAAAAAAATACTGAAAGATAAAAATTTTGAAATGCCAAAAAAAAAAACTAAACTAAACTAAAATAAAAAAAAGTCATAATCTCCATATTAAAGATGTTAGCCTTAATTATTTTTTAAAAAATTTTGAATTACGGCTATAAGATTTTTATAGCCTTAATTAATTACGGCATATAAAAATTTTGTATTACGACACTTTTTTGAATTACGGCTAACATCTTTACTCCATATATTAGATATACTATATACATGCTGTCCAAATTATTTTTGAATGTCATAATTATAATTTGAAATGCCGTAATTCATTCAGTTTATATGTAATTTACTATGTAAAGTACCAAAATAATTTGGGATGTCATAATTGAATTTGGGATTTTACTTATAATTACAGCAACTCAAAATAATTTGGACAACATATATAGTATACCAGAAATTAGCTAATTTAATAGAAGATGGAATTAAATAATTTAAGTTCAAATATCAGATTTTTTTTTTTAATAATATTTTTAAAGAGAATAAACAATATACTTTTATTTAAGATACTAATTAGAACTATCTAAGTAATTTAATAAATAAATTGGTATTTTACCTTTTATTATATAAATATGGAAGTATATTTCATATGCAATATCAGGCCTTTAATTACATAATATTTATATATATCTAATATATATATATATATTGTTTGCAATACATTTAATAATTTATTAAAATAAAAATAATAACAAAATACTACATATAATTAACTATCAAACTACTTATTATTTTAATAAAAAATACTATGTATATACTGTTATATGAAAATTTAAGTTCAAAGTAATGTTGCTATTTAAACCTTATTTATTAATAATAAAATTCAAAAATCTGAAACTCAAAAACTCTATTTTTAATGAAAAAATTAGTAAATCTAAACCTTTTCTAAATTATAATTAGTTTCAAAAAAAATATAAAAACAGTTTAGGCAATTAATTTTATTATAAAAATAGTTTCAAATTGAATTTTAATTAAAATTTTTGAAAAAATAGTTTTGATAAGTATTTTTAATTCAAAAAGTAGGGTTAAAACCCAAAAATATATATACAGGGGTAGGGTACACAAATGCGTCGCCATCATAGTGGAATTAGATGGAGTAAAGTTTTGATTTGCGTACAATTTTAGAATTTTTCATCTATAGTTAGGTCATCAAGATTGCGTATTTTTTATCAAAATTTTTATATGTAAAAAATTAGTTTGCGTATTTTTGACCTAAATTTGGCTAATCTTATATATATAATATATTTACTGTACGTACTGTACGTACTTATTTAATTAACCGAATTGTAAGAAATTTCTAAGGGTTAAAAAGTGAAATTTTAGAAAAATATTATTAAAAAAATGGTAAATTCTATTTTTTCACATTAGTATTTTTGTTTTATAAATAATATAGAAGCCATAATAAAATAATTAATAACTTAATGTCTGAAATTTTATTTGCGCATTTTTGCAGGATTTTCAATATCAGGTGTCAATTATGCGTACTACTCATATAAAAAGTCTCTGCGTACAGCTCATAGTAAAAAAATTTTTCACCACCTGATCCCTATATATATATTTCTGGGTCCTGTAAGGTTTATATAAAATATTCCATCTTAAAAAATATCATTTTTTCTCTTTTTACATCAGATAAATATTTCACAAAACCTCAAAAAAAAAAGAGAAAACAAACAATCATAGATATAAAAAATAAGAAAACCAGTAATAACAAAATCTTTTTCTATAATATCTAAAGCTGCCGCCCGAAATTAGGAAATTTTATCATTTGCCAAAACCAAAATGGTAAAATTAATTTAGGAAAAATACTTAATTCTGAAATGCTGAAACTATTCCGAAATTCTGATTGGCTGTTGTTAAATCACGTGACCAAAATTAAAATTTTTACCAAAATTATAACTGTATTTTAATACTATAATTCTGGCTCCGTAGCGATCTTCCTGACATGTATAGCTTCGATTTAAGCCTATGTTCGCTTTGTGTAATGTATATACTATATAAGGAAATTATGCGTCTTTATGCACTAATGTTACACAAAGTGAACATAGGCTTAAAACGAAGCTACACATGTCAGGAAATTATTGGAATTAGAATACAGATAAAATTTTAGCAAATTTATAAAGTCATGTGATTTTATAATAGGCCAATCAGAAGTTTCGGACAATTTCGGGAGTTTCGGAAAGATTTTGGGATTTCAGAATTAGTTTCGGAAACAAAATTCTGGCCGAAATTATTTTGGAATTAGGAAATAATTTTGGGCGGCAGCTTTAATAATATCTATAAAATAAAAAGGTAGTGATATCTCAATTAAAATTATATCTAACTTTTGCAACATTATTTAAATTACAGTCAAAACCATTAGTTTGTCAATACTATCTAAGTCTTTATTTTAATTTTTAATATATTTGATTTTATTTTGCTTTTTATTTACCTATTGGTTAGTATTCCATGAGTTCTTTTTAGATTCATCTTTTCAGTTCTACTTCTGTTAATGATTTCTCTTTAGTAATTTAATCTTAAATTAATTCAAGATAAAAGCAAAATACCATCTTCAAATATCTTTATATTTGTGCAAATTGAAATAAGTATTTATAATTTTGTCCAAATCTGCTTATAATTTATAATATATAATTAACTTGTATTATTTTCTATCTTAAATAATTTTAAATACTTTGCAATTAAAAGATATAGAGATAAGTAAAATGAATTATCCAGATACAAAATAGTATTATTAATATTATTAAAATTATCCATTATAATAGCTTAAAATCTCTTACATTTTTTATACTACTTCAAATTCTAAAATGCCAAAAACTATCTAATTAGTAAACCTTTTAAAGAAAGTAAAGAATTATTTAAACTTTTTCATTCTATAAATCTAATGCCATCTTGTTGAAATCAATCAATACTGTGATTGTAATATATTTCTTCTGATCTTTAATAGATTTTATTTCCAAAAATTTACATAGAAAACAGAAATAGTTTTTTAATAAAAGCGCTTAGAAAAAGTTGATACAGATAAGAAAACAATTATATATTTAAAGAATTTTCCACTTGAGCTATTCAACCATATCAATAGCAGATGTAAATATTTTATCAAGGAAGTTAAGAAACAAGTTAAATAACAGCTTTACAATCCAAGTATTCTGCAGTTTTTACAAAAAAATGTTGCTGAATTATTGAATATTTTCTTAGTGAAATAGCAATAATAATAACAGATACTTGAACCTTCTAATTATAAAAATATTAAGAAAAATATAAAAATCTTTATAATTTTACTAAAGTTCTTTAAAAAATAACTATCATTCTAATGGCCTTTAAAAAATTCTATTTGAATATTGCTGAAATCTTTTAGAATAATTAAAATCAACAAAACTAACTAATAGAAGAAACTACAAACATAAGCTTTATTTTAGATAATGATAATGTTAATGATCCATTAGCTGATGAATTAGACTTAACAGATATAGTAATTTCTGATAATACAATGCATCAATCACAAATCATACAACCTTTCATAAAAAAATTATCTATGCTCTTTTATGCTAAGAGAAAACAACTGAAATTAATACTAAACCAAAACTAGTTCTTATGAAACAGGATAAGAAAATATAAAAAGTTAAGGTTATTGAAAAGAAGATTATATATATATATAATAATAGGATATCAATTAATAGAACTGGTTAATAATATTATAATATACAATGCTGAACTAATATAAACTTACTTTGTTATCTGAAAATTTGAAATAAAGTCATCTCTATTAAGATTACTTAGTAAAAGAAGTATAATACTATAAGGCTAAAATTAAAAATAAGTATACTATATAAGTAGACCTAAGATCTGAATTGCATCATTAGAAAACATTCTAATAAAGTAGTATCTAGAGATAGGCATAATAACCATTATATAACGATTATATAATTATATAACATATATAACAATCATACAGTCAACCCCTTTATAGTCATACCCCTTGAGACCGAAAAAAAAGGGTGTGATTATAAAAAAAGTCATATATTGTGACTATAGAATATACATGTCACCCAAATTATTTTGGACTGCCGTAATTATAAGTAAAATCCCAAATTCAATTATGGCATCCCAAATTATTTTGGCACTTTACATAGTAAATTATATATAAACCGAATGAATTATGGCATCCCAAATTATAATTATGGCATCCCAAAATAATTTGGGCAGCATGTATACTATAGAAGAGGTTTTTCTAATATATTTATTAGTACATTGGGCCAAAATATGGTGTGCTTATAAAGGGAAATTTTATATGATGTGATTATACAGGGGGTGACTATATAGGGGGTTGACTGTATATAACATTTTATATAACACAATTAATATATTTATATAATATATATATCAGTAACAAAGGCTGGCTGAAATTAATTTAAGTTAGCTGGAATTAAGTGGATATGTGATTTTAATTTTGGCTAAATAGGCATATGTATCACATGATATTACATAAAATTCCAAAAAAGGAAATTTTGCTGTCCAATAAAAATTGAGAAAATAGTGCATATTATTACACAAATTCCAAAATATAGCCGTGTTCCAAAAATGGAAATTTTTATGTCAATCATAGTTGAAAATTTTTGAAAATTTTTTTTTCTATAAATTTAGTCAGATTATAATAAATTTAGCCAGCATTATAATTGTTATATATATTATATAACTATTACATATATTATATAACATATTATTTATGTTATATAATATTATGTTATATAACATAATAGTATTCAACTATCTGATTTTTTTACAAATGAACAAAAAAAAAGAAATTCTAAGCAATTTTCTTTAATATACCAAACTTAATGATAATTAATTTACTATTTTTTAATAATTAATCCATTTGCTTGATCTTAATAGCAATAAGTGGTTTAAAGCCTTTAAAGTTATTACAATAAAAAAACATAAGTGCAAGCTTGTAATTTACCTGGAAAAATAGGAAGATCTTATAGAAAAAAATTACAAAATTAATGGCAAGAATCTAGATTAATATCACTACACTTTTTGTTTTACCAGAATACTTAAAAATTAGTTATATAATAAAGATAAATCTAAAAGTTCTGTAAACTTTCAGAAAAAGAATTTTAATTTCAAAGATAAATCTACAAATACTAATAAGATTTCTCTAAATACCTGAACATGATAAGATTAGAAAAGAATAAAAACAACTCAAGAGGTCCTTCCAACTATAATTACAAGTTAAGAAAAGTCTTAAGATCTTCAAGTGAAAAATTGTATAAAAAAGTAATTGAATTGAAACAAGTAATCTATTTTCAGTCTATTAATGAGAAATTAGTTTTTTATTTATTATAAATTTTTTAGTTTTAGTTTTTATTTGTTAGAAATTTTTGTTTCTTTTAGAAATTTTACTTACTTTATTTAATTAGTTAGTTTATAGATTTAAAAAGAGTTTTCCTATTTCTACTACTAATTACTTTTCCTTTTTTTAGCATGATATATCTCATGGAATATATTTACTATTGGTAGTATTGTAATCTGGATGAATCTGTGATCTGTCAATCTGATTCAAAATAATTCAAATATTTGTAATAGATTTGCAAATTTATCTGTTACCATCCAGATATCCACTAAATGCATCTGAATGCACAGATGAATATTTTTTTAGTATATTTTTTTTATAATTTCAGCCAGAATATTAAAATTACCATATTTAGTTTTATATAACCATTTATTTCCTTTTTTAGCAATACCCATTTTACAAAAATTTTGATTTCTATTTTTAAACATTACTAAACATGGAATATTGTATAATAAAGATACCAAAAAAGGATATTTTTACCATTGATTACTTAATTTCAACCAGAATTATGATTGATACAATTATCTGGATGATCCATTTTTTCTATTCAGATTTATTCGTAATCTGACTGAAACTCTAACGGATGATTCAAATGAATTTTGAATCAGATAAATTCGCAGATTGACAGATTGACAGATCAACAGATCACAACACTAATTAATGAATAGGGTACTATTTCAATTATTTAGGTTTTTTTAGAAATTCGTCTCTCCGTATATTGATTTGTATTGCTCTCCTTTAAGTATAATAATAAAAATAAATAAATAAATAAATTTATATATTTATAAAAAACAAATAAATAGATATTTCATTAGATATATAAAAATCTGATAATGCGTATGTGAAGTATTCTTTATAATATAATAAGTGATTTAGTAATTAATAATATTAGGTGAATTTAAAACTCTTCCTTATACCGTTCTCATCCATTTTTCATATAAGAAATAAAATGCTTTTTTCTTGTTGTTTCAATAAGAAACTGGCAGTTCAGTATTAAGGCAAAAGTGTTCTTTAGTTAAAACAACACACTTTTTATTATTACTCCTTTAGATTTTCAAAAGTTCATAAGAATTTATTCTTTCTTACAGAAAGATTTTTTGTTTTCTTGTGAAGTTTTTCTTCAAAAAAAGACGTAAACAAAGTGCACTAATCAGATTAACAATGCTGAATAAAGAAATTTCTATTGGCTATACATTTTTCCATTCAGTAAATGTAAAACAGTATACAAGAGCTGATACGCTATATTCCACCTGAAAAGGAAAGTCTTACATCTTTTTGCATATGATAAGAAAAAGACATGTTGACGATTATAACCAATAATAGACACATTGTTAAGAAATATGATAAATTTTTTAAGGTTAATTCAGATAGAGCTATCATGAATACAAAATATAAGATCTCAAAATATTTGACAAGCGTATTTTGTGGGTTACCTATTAAGTTAGAAACTAGAAATATGTATTATTCAAGAATTCGTCAGTTATTAGTGGATAAACTGGTTGCAATAGAGACGAGACTAAAAAAACAGAATAAGAATAGGCAAACTACAACATATATTAGATTTAATTGTGATGAGTGAATATGGTATTTGGGATTTTATATCCCATGCTCTTATTGTAGTAATGTCTGTGCTTATATTATGTCAAGAAATAGAAAAGTATGCCAAACTTGTTGTTCAAAGGTAATAAACAGATTATAAGTAAATGTATAGGTGTCACTTATATAAAAAAGGTCTCAAGATATAATAAATCAGGTAATTATGCAGTTACATATTCAAATTTGGGCTTTAATAAACAGTTCAAGTCACGAAAAGAACAAAAAAAATATAAAAAAAAGATTTTTTAATAGTTTAAAAAATAACAAGAACAAATGGCAGGATACTAGTAATGGTTTTGATTCAAAAATATATATTTCTAAACATCGATTAAAACGTAAATCTGATATTCTTAAGAAATAACATATATTAGTTAGGAAAATGAAGTTTCTAATAGATCAAGTGTCAAGTTGAATAAGATACAATATATTAAAAAAAGAAATTTTTGTTAAACATTCTTTTAACAAGGAATATTTTTTTGAATTAAGAAGAAAAAAGGAGGCATTATTTGACCTTGAAGATAATATTGTGACAGAACAATCAATTAGTTCTAGTGAGGGTGTTACTATTGATAAAGTAACAGAGGACTTGAAGGTTCTAGAAATTAGAGAACAAATTAACCTTGCTCCTTGATAAGAAATACTTAAGGTTGCGGGCAAACCCTCATAATAAACGCGAAACTTGACAAAACTATATTAAAATATTAATAAAAATTTGGTAAAACTTGACTATAAAAATCATATGAAATGACAAAACTATAATAAACTCTTATAAAAAAATTGACGAAACTAAGATTTATACATTTTGCCAAATTCAAAAACCAGTTTAGCCCGCAACCTTAGAAATACTGGAAAAAATAATACCTATAACAAAACCAGAATTTCATAAAGAGTTAAATAACGTTAGAGATATGAATGTATTAACAACCTATAGTGATAGGGTTAAAAGAAAACAAAGGGATATGGAGTTACTCATGCCTATGTGATTGCTATACATGCCACCCAAATTATTTTGGACTGCTGTAATTATAAGTAAAATCCCAAATTCAATTATGGCATCCCAAATTATTTTGGCACTTTACATAGTAAATTATATATAAACTGAATGAATTATGGCATCCCAAATTATAATTATGGCATCCCAAAATAATTTGGGCAGCATGTATAGTGATTGCTCAATGTTCAATTAGAGTGCGTAAAATCGCAAGGAGGTTGTGATGTTAAGGAGGGTTAAATATTCAATTAGTTATTCTTGTTTTGTTTTTCTATTTGCTTTTGTGGAATGGCTAATTGTTAAGAAACAAATTATTAAAATGAAAAAATGAATAATTATTTTTGAGTTTCACAACATTTCCTATTTGATAATATTTATATAGAGCTATTTAGTTAGAAAGAAAAATATATAGATAGATAATCTATTGAAATTTTACTTGTTACACATCATTTCATATTTGATTATATTTACATATGGCAAATTTTATTTGAAAGAAAAATATATAGACTTCTTTTAAGTAGTTTTAAAGAATTATTTTTAAAACAATTTGTTTGTTTATTTTTTCATCATTCTATATCAGATAGTATATACATACAGCTTTTATAAATAAAAAAAAATTATACATGCATGCTATTAATAGCGTATAGAAAAGAAAAAAGATACAATATTAGTAATAAAGACAAAAAAAAGAAGTCAAAGTCAAAATTAAATAGTAGGTAAGCTCATTATAATAGAATAGAGTGAGACCAATTGGAACAAATGGAATGATTTAGCATTCCATTAGGGTGGTTATTGGGCAAATTTTTAGGTAGATTTTGACAGTTACATAAAATTTTTGGTTGTATCATTGTTTTTAATAATGAAATAAGCATCTAGGTAACAGGTTGACCTTTTCTTTAGAGGAGTACAGTAGTCTTTTTCATAATGCTTGGTTCTTATATATATTATGTTTTTCTTATTTTTATAAGTTTAGTATACTGTCTCTTATACACATCTAGATGTGTATAAGAGACAGATATTAGGTGGAATTAAATTAGATTTTTACTTTTATAATATTACTACTTTAATTTTCTTAATAAATCTAATGTACTGTGATTAAAAAAAAAAATTAGATATATAAAATACAGAAATATGTTTATGAAATATAAGCAGTAGTTTTAATTAATTCAGGAGTTTATATTCCATTTACATAGTATTTTTTAATAAAAGATATGATACTAAAATGTATCTTTTATTTATATAAATATATGGATGATCTTATATTAAAAAAACAAACTAGCATTTTAACTTTAAAATAAAAGTATTATAAATTTACAAAGTTAAACAAAAGATCAGATAATGGTAGAATGAGACTCATCAAAAAACAATCAAGTCCTTAACTGATGAATTTGATACAATTATTATTTCCTTTGAGGTTTCAGGTATGGTGAACGGAAAAATATAAAAGATAATAAGGAAAACAGTTAGAAAATGCTCTGTTGGTCTCATTATGGGTTTCAACAATGGTTTTTGAAGCAAAAGAGAAAGGAATCCATGTAATAATTCAAATGAAGCTACACATCTACAAATGCAAGAATTGTGATATAAAAATGGAATTCCTTTGGGTTTGATGGAGCCATGATTTTGTAATGATATTTTATGCAAGAATGCAAGAAATAGTAACCTTTACTTAGTGATGATTAGTGTTGATTATTATTGATGTGTTACATTCCATCCGACTTACTACAATTAAATAACAGTATTTCATTGCCAGATTTTATTCTAAAATTTAATTTCCAATATTTATTTATCTTTAGGATTAAATAAAGTATGATTCGCGAAGTATAAATAAGATCTTGAAATCATGGTTATCGTTTGATATTGGCTGGAAGATTAAGACAACTCTATAATTAATTTGAAGATTATCAGCTAATATATTTCTTGCACATTGTGTATAAATCAACGCGTCTTCACATTGAAACGCGTAATTGGCATCATTTAATAAAGCTTAACTATTTAAAACAATAAATTTCAGTTGCAATTAACTTGCTATGTTGTTATTAATTATTAGATGATAACATTTTATAATAGCAACAAATATACATGTAAAATTTGTTATATTTCATTGTTTTCGTATTAATAGAGGAACGATCTATAATTTTCGATGGATTTTTACAATTTATTGAAAGCAGCTACATCAACACTTTGAACATGTTCTTCGAATCCTGTAATTCTTTCTTCCAAATCATCTAATATTTTAAAAAATTCAATCAATTTGTTCTTTTTATTAAAGGAAAAGCAAACATAATGACACAACTTACCAACACCAACTTTATCATCTTCTACGACACATGAAATCTGCAACTTATTGATACCATAGCCAACAGGAACAAGTTTAGAAGCACCCCACACAAGACCATCTAATTCAATGCTCCTTACAAATTTTTCCATTTCAGCTAAATCAGTAGTATCATCCCAAGGTTTAACATCCAGGATAACCATACTTTTAGCAATAACTTTTGGTTTAGCTTCCTTTTTACGTCGATATTCAGCAAGTCTCTCTGCTTTTTGACGTTCAGCTTCTTCATCTTCCTCCTCATCATCAGAACCAAACAAATCTACATCATCATCATCATCTTTCTTCTCTTCTGTTGGAGTTTCAACAACATCAGGTCCATATGATGATGCGTCTTTTTTTGTGCCAGGAAGTGAAGAAAATGATTCAGAATAAGAAGCGATATGATTATACCATCGAGCTGCATGGGGATATTTAGTAGAATCTGGACGGTTCAAAGCTTCGAACACGGCTACATCAGCTTGGGATGGTTCGTAACTAATATATTATATTTTAATTTGTTAATTTATTGACATTTAATAATTTATAATATTATAGATCTAAGGTATCAGAGAATTTAAATAAGGTTTCGTTCATAAGACAGTGTCTTAATTCTGCTTCAGAAACACGGACCAATAAAATAATCATCATAATAAAGTACATAATGCAAAGTAAAATTTATGGAAAAAAATACCTTTCAATATAAGATTTATCTTGCAAAAAGTTATTAAGAGTTTTAAGGCCTGAATCTTTATCAAGTTGAGTGAAACCCTAAATAAGAGTATCGTTTAATTTTAAATATTTTAAAAGTTGTCTGAATTGAAAAAAAAAAAATGTATACCATTTTGAAACGTTTTGGATGAGATAGAATGAAAGCAAAAATTTGAAAAAATTTGTTCGACTGATCGTGAGTTAATTGTCCGCAGTAGTATTCACAAATATGACCAGCATTATAAATGATCAGTAGTGTATTTTTTTTAGCTAAAATTTCACGTATTTGCTCTCAAAAAGATGGGTAAACACGAATTTTTAACGCCAAAAGCTATTGCGAACAGAATAAAGGTTTGCACTTTTTACTAAGTCTAAGTTTATATAAGTTACTCGGATTACTAATTACTTTTAAAGGCGAAAGGTCTTCAAAAGTTGAAATGGTACTGTCAAATGTGCCAAAAGCAATGTCGGGACGAAAATGGTTATCAGGTTTGTATATAAAGCTTTTCTTTTTTTCTGGTTAAATATTTATTGTTTATTTATCGTCTACAATGTATAGATCTGCTAAAAATTTTATTGATCTAGTGCCATATCCGCTCCGAATCTCATCTTCGCCAAATGGATCTTTTGAAAGAAAGTCCTTCTATGTATATGCAAGGATATTCAAAGCAGTTTCATGATGATTTTGTCAAATTGCTTTCACGAAGGTAATTTGTCGAATAAATAAATATTAGTTTACTTATTTACTAATAGTTCTAAATTTTAGGTGGGGAACAAAACGTGTTCATGCAAATCTCGTTTATCAAGAATATATTGCCGATAGACACCATGTACATATGAACGGTACAATATGGGAAACATTGACAGATTTTGTAAAATATCTTGGTAAAGAAGGAATTTGTCATGTTGATGATACGCAAAAAGGATGGTTTGTCACTTGGATTGATAATAGTCCAAAAGCATTAGCAAGACAGGTATTTATAATTTACTTTAAAGTTTATTGGTGACATTAATATTTTAACTAATTTTATTCATTTAATAGGAAGCGATTATGAAAAAAGAACGTGCCGAAAAAGATGAGGAAGAGAGGACTCGAAAATTGATAGGGGATCAAGTCGAAAGAGCAAGAAAAGAGGCAGAAGAATTAGGTTTAGACGATAAGGTATTGTAAAATAAAATTTCAATATAGAGGTTCTAAGTTGATTGATCGTTTTGTATTTCGCTAATACTTTTTTTTTTAGGAAATATATACTGAACTTAAACGTGAAACAGAAGAAGAAAAAATAAAACTTAATCTTACATTAACAAAATCTGCTAATTTAACTTTAAACACAACGGACAAGATTGATAACGCTGCGGAAAATATTAGCTTTCCCACAACTAGCATATCCTTTAGTAAACCTTCGACACAAAAAAAATCTCTAAGTGCATTAGTTAAAAAGTCAAATCCCATGGTTACGCAAAAAAAAGAAAAAGATAAAGAACAACCAAAGAAGTTGTCAGCAATGGAAGAAATAATAAAAGAAGAAATGGAAAAAAAGAAAAGGATGGAAAATTTTAAAGTAAACGGAAATAAAGGAGATAATCGACGAAAAGATAGTGACTATAAAGATAGTCGTAATAATCGTGATTACATTGATAGAGAGATAAGAGATCATAGGGATTATAAAGACAATAGAAGAGATTACAGAGATAGAGAAAGAGAACGAGAGAGAAGTCATAAAGAAAAAGATAGAGAATATAGGGAAAGAGAGAGAGAGAGAGACAGAGATAGACAATATGATCATGAATCAAAGAGGATTCGTAGAGAATAAGGCAACTCTAAGTTCAGATGTCCTTTACACTGGTTTTTTAACTTTTATTATTAACTATTTGTAACAGGAAAATTAATGTAATTTTAAAGTCTTAGAGAGACGCATATTTATAATAAAAATTCTATAATTGATACCACACCTTTTATAAAAGTATTTATGAGATTAGTTACAATGTTATACATTTATTGGTATTAATAGCAAATATTAGTATTAATTGCAGATTACCAATCTGAATATAACTGATAATATCTGCATTATGTAAGGAATTTTGACTTAGTATTAATAAATTTCAATCGCTGAATACCAAATTTTCTTAATATCAGATATATGATATTTATATAACTGAAAAGTTATAGTCTTATAAAATATCAATAATTAAATTTTAATAATTTATGGTTTATTTAAAAAGACAAATTAAATAATATAGTATAATCATACTAATAGCAACAATACTTATTGTATTATTATTACTTATTTAAAAATTTAAAAATTTTACTTTGTGTTAATAATGTTAATCTTAGCCAAATTGCAAAAGGATTTATTTAAGTTAAATACAATATAGGTAACTATTAATAGGGAGATTTTTTTTACAGAATATGATGGTATTTCATTTTATTTTTTTAAAAAATAAGCTATTAGAGGGTTAATATTAAACCTGTTCAATTCTGATCGTTTGGATTTTTTGATCAAAAATCCATTAACCAATCCTATCATGTGATCAAAATCAAAATTGAGTACTTTGATTGGCTTATTAAATGGTTATTTTTTAAAAAATGGCAAATAAGCAATATAAAGGTACTATACCATTCCAAAATTAAGCAGTATCCAAAAATAAGCAGTATCAATTTAATATTAACTTTTATTATTAAATTTTGTATAATTAAATTAATATTCATTAAAATTTTAACTAAATTGCAATGAATTTATTAATAAAATTTTAAATTTACAATAAAAGACAATTTGATGCTACACATCATTATTTAAATTTTAAGCCATTGACTTTCATCAAAATTAATGAAATTGCTATTGCCATACATAGCAAGATTTAGTTCAATTTCAAAAAAAAGATCATCTTCTAAAGTTATTTCTTTATATCTGTAAAATATAACAAAAAGTTGCAGTTAATATAAAAGATAAATTATTTAGAATTACCTAGATTATAGATTGCACATTTCTATTTCAAACTCCTCTTCATTTTCTTTGTTAAAGGTTTGAATAATTTCATTAAAATCATTAATATTTTCATCTAAAGAATTTGATACTTTGCATATTTTAAAGGATTAAATAATTAAAAAATGTAATATATAATTAATAATTACTACTCATATTATAATAATAAGGATTGTAACCTATTACTACTTTTAAAGTTAAAGTGTTGTAATATTACAATATTTATGATTGTTCAAAAATTTTCTTTTTAAAAAATAAAAATTACAAAATAAGTTTTTGTATAATAAATATCATTATAAAAAAAAATGATTAATACATATTTATATAATTGGAAATAATTACAACATTATATAATAATTACAATATTAGTAGTAATTATAATACTATATAATAATTATAATATTGTGTTGTAATTACAATAAAAGTATTATATATATGTTATAATAGTTGTAACCTTACAATCTTTTAAAAATAATTATATATTACATCTTTATAAATAATCACTTCATTTGAAATTTGTTTTCATGATCTTTTTACTTATTTACAAATATTACTTAACTTAGCATATCACAAGTTTCTAGCAGCAGTTTCACCAGCACCATCATTTGCCATTTAAAGATGCCATTCCTTACAGAGATTATTTTTAAATAGCAATATATAAACTCTAGAGGTTGGTAAATACTGGTTAAACTATCTAAAATAACTGCTAAATCAATGTCACTTTCATGAAATTTTTTTTTAACCATTTCTTTTAAGTACTTTCTGAAAGAATTATATACTATTATCATTGGTTTATTGTTAGTTTTTAATTCATTGATATAATTAATGTATTCTATTATCAAATTGGTATCTATCTATCCATTTTGTTAAAACTAAATAATAATGCTAAATGGAATTAGATTACATTTATTATTAATAATTTCTTCTCTTTAAAGATGCAAATTGGTGAGAATTTTGATCCATCTATAAAAAAAAAGTAATTTTAAATATAAACTTACAAAAATCATTAAAAATAATAAAATTATACTTGCAACATATATTAAAATAACTGTAAATTGATTTTTTCATTATCAGTTCTGCAGATATGAATTGTTTTTTTTTCTGTTTGATTAATAGTAAAATTTTCAACTAAACAGAATTTTATTTATATTGAAAATATTGAATAATTCAAAGGATTTTTCTGTTCTAAGCTGGATAATAAATTGACAAATTTTTTTAATAATTCATTAGTTTATAAAGGAAGTTTTTGTGAGATTTTAGTATGTCATTACTAAAAAAATTTAAATTTTTTCATAAATGCAAACATTCAATAATTTGATATTTTGAAATCTTTTGCCAAATTTTTATAGAAACTTATCATATCAGGCTCTTTCAAAATTTCCATTATTTTAACTTATACAATTGTATAAATAACATCTAATCTCTGCTTTCTTTAATTAATAATCCAATTATATAACTTTTTTTAACTTCAGGGTAAAAAGCAGTTTAACTAAAACCAACTTGCTCACTTGCTGTATTAGTTCAATTTAATTACTCAACTCTTATTTTTCTTTACTCAACAACAAATTATACCACTATTGAAATCAAAGTGCCTTGCCACTTCATTTCTTCCATTTTCTGGAATATAGATAATGACCTATCTCTTTTGCTTAATTGTATATGAATTACAACTATGTTTAACAGTTTTATTATATTTAACAACAATTTTTTTTATTTAACAGCTTTTGTCTTTTTACATTTCTGTTAAAGATGTTAGCTGTAATTCAAAAAAGTACTATAACACAAAATTTTTATATGCTGTAATTAATTAAGGTTTCAAAATTTTTTAAAAAATAATTAAGGCTAACATCTTTAGCCTTACCTCTGAAAAAATATTACAATTATTATTTGTAAAAGAGGATAAAACATTCTTAATTTTTAGATCAAATTATTATTTGTAGTTTTAAGAGGATCCTGTTCAATTCCAATCAGTTGCTTTTTTTAGTTATCTATTGGTAAAGTATATTCAAAAATACAAAATTTTATGGTCAAAAAGGCAAAGATTATACAGTATTTCTTAATCCAGTCAAAATATGCATGATTATGTATGACAGTAATAAGAAATATATTTATTATTAAAAACAGTAAGCCTATTCTGAAAATATTTTTTTTCCATATTTTCCTTAAAACAACAACTTAGTAGAAGTTTTTCCTTCTTTCAAAACATTTTTACTTTTCAGTAGTTAGGTCACTATTCAAGTTACACACACAATCATAATTATCAAGGTAAAGATCATCATGTTAGCGCTAAATTAACGCGATAAATTTAATTATTTTACATGCTAAATATGTTTAAAGTTTATACAATAGATACAATTAGATATGAAGTTCTTTTACATGACATATTATCATTTGGCCTTTTTTTCGTGGTTTAGCTGACTTAAAATTAAAACAATTTCTTATTAGTATTTATTAGCGTAGGAATTGTTTTATAAAATAAAGTATAAAATATATTATAAAGGGTATATCTGGATTATATATTATTATTTTAGATACTATCAAATGTTTTTTTTTAGAAAATTTCTTTCTCGAAATAGCCATTCTACCTGAGGAATTATTGGAATCATTTGAGCGTCGACAACATTAACATTCCTTCTGCAGCAATTACTGTTCTTTCGGAATAGTTATGAATGACGCAGGACACTTTTGTCTTGTTTAAATCTCCATTAATATGTGTGGATTTCAACGGTAATAACGTTGCCTTTGGTAATGTCGATTTTTCAATGAAATCGATCCAATTGGGTTCTTGTATAATCGGTGAAGCCATTTGTTGGATCGAGGATAAAGAAATTCTGGGTAGTATTCTGTGTGACGCCCTTTTAGGTAGTGTTTTCATTTTTGTATAATTCATAATATCAGAAACAGTTCTGGAAGGAATATCAGCGATAAGTTTCGAAAAAACACGTGAAAATGGATTATTTTCGATAATATTATTTCCAGTGTGATTAAGAAGCACGCCAAAATCGGATTTAGTTTTTATTGTCATAGAACGTCGTAATTTCTGTCTTTTTTGCTTTTCTTCATAGTTTTTTACACATTCACTGTATGGTCGTTTCACGCCACCATTATTTTGCTTGAATTCGACATATTCCACTAATCTTCTCGCATTTTGTGACAATTTCTATTTTACATATAATATTATAATACGCTTTATGGGAAAGTGATAAACAAAATGATGCGCCTTTTTCATTTGCGTTACCTCCTTTATTTCTTCGTCAAGTTGATTAAATAAGAATGGATTCTCACACAAACCGTTACAAATTGTTTTAAGAGAATTTTTATTCTCTTCTGTCATGCTGTTACGTTTATCTTTCCTAATATTTATCACTTCTATTTGGGAATTATAAGGACGTTTACTACCAGATAGCTTCACCATCATGAAAGGGTAAGTGGTTGGTGAAATAATATATTAAATATATTGTCATAAAAAATTCACATATAGAATTTAACACGTGCCACAGAAGGATTTTGACCTTTCTTTTTTAAGTACTATTGCAACTAAAAATATTAAATTATATGAAGTAAAAGGAAGGAGAGAAGAAAAAGGAATTTCATATTCCTTTTATATGAAAATTCGCGTTTATTTTTTCTTGTTACGTCACGTGTGATAAGATCTAGATCTCGTGGAACTGACATTTTTGCCTTTTCGGTAAATCGTGCGATGTTAATTTTTTTCAAGAGACGCGTTCTTTGTGTAATGTCGGTATCTAATTATCTAATTATAAGGTGATTGTATTATGATGAATGATGAAATAGGATTACTGTATTTGACAGAATTTCCTGTAGATTTATTTATTTTATTTATTTATCATTGATTACAAGATTTGTTTGTTAATTTTGTTAATAAAATAATTTTGTTGTTTAAACGCCAAAGAGAAGGAGGTTTACGTATGTCCTTACCCCACGTGTGCACATCAGCCTCATTGATTTATTTGTTTATTTACGTTTAACGGCAGTGATTTTGTAACTTCGAAACTTTCCCTTCTTTTTTCTCTTTCTTTTTTAAATAATTATTTAATTACTATGGTTTATTTTTAATTACTATATTAACTGTTTTTATTTTTGTATACAAAGATTTAGAGCACAATTTTGGTACTTTTTGGTCAACGCAAACTGTTCTTTGAAGACTAAATAAAATTGCTTAACAAGTATAGCATTACTTAGATAATTATTTTTATTAAGTTAGCTTACATATTTGTGGAGTTATAATTATATTTTGTAATAATATTAAGCACATTATATTAAACGCATTAAAAAAATCGTTTAACTACTCCATTAGTAAATCATATATCTTCAAATTAATAAATTTCAGATAATAATATATAATATTTAATTTATAAATAAATTACCTTTTCTAATATCAGTAGCTTCAAACATTAATATCTAATGGGTTGGTATATGGTTTAAGGACATGCTTTATATCACTTGCCGATCATTTGCCGATCATATAGTAATTCGGTGATATGTGACTTTAAAGCTTCGGCCGAAACCACAGAAGTTAGACCGAAACTTGAAACTTTTATAGGTTATAGCTTAACTGTTTTAAAACTAATAGTTGAAGTAATCCGAACTAATTTTAGGTAATCCACGAGTTATGGCCAAATTAATACTTGCAATTATATTGATTTAATTTATGTAATAAATATAAATTTTCAAAACATCATTTCTCAATCAATTTTGCATGAACATGGTTAAATAAAAATTATTTTGGTTTTATACATTGTGGAATTTGCAAGAAAAATAGCCCAATAATCATATTTTTTTATGAGATAATATCGAATAGATAATTGAAATGATCAGCAAAATGATCGCTGATAATGTGATAATATGAGGATGTCCACCCTGTTGGTTTAAAGCCACTATTTTTAATATAATATCCCTATGAAAAAAGTCTGTGTGATTTTTGTTGAAAAATCATTCAATTAAATTCACTACGATTTCTGTATATTTGACCATACAATAATTGTGCTAAAAATTGCAATAAATCACACAATTATTGCATGGTAATTCATTCAATAATTATCCTATTTTTGACCTGAATTTATACAATTATTGTGTAATTTTTGAGCCAAATTTTTTTAGGCCATATTTTAGGAATTATAGGTTAAATTTTACAGTAATAACAGGCAATTTATAAAGTGAAATTATGAATTTTTTTTATTGACTTAAAATATAAAAAATATACACAATATTTCATAAATAAAATACTAAATTTGATATAATCATAAATATAAAAATTTGTAAGAAAATAAAATAAAATAAAGTATGTTAGTAACATCATGAAAGTAAATTAGTATTATCAAAGAAGAAAGTAAATTATTAGTGTAAGTAAATTATTAGTATTAAATAAAAAAGTATGAAGTTAATGAAGAAAGCAAATTAGTAGTGTTAAAAAGTACTAAATTATTAGTGTTAGTAATAAAAAAGTATGAAGTTAGTGAAGAAAGCAAATTAGTAATGTTAAAAAGTAAATTATTAGTATTAGTAATAAAAAAAAGTATGAAGTTAGTGAAGAAAGCAAGTTAGTAACATTAAAATGTAAAAAGTTAGGAAAATAAAAGGATAAAGAACACAAGTTTTTCTTACCTGATATTTTAAAAGAAAGTTGAAAAAAAGTTAAAAGGTTAAAAAAACATAAACAAAAACATTTCGCGTCGTCATATTTATTTTGACGATCAGATCACGTGATCAACATATATAATTTTAAGAGTTGATTTTTACCGCATAATTCTGGCCAAATTATAATTCCGGTCAGAACTAATTGTGTAACCTAATAAAAAGTTTTTGACTTTTTTTTAGTTACAAGATGATACAAAAATTTCACCAATGGGTCCAGAATATGCCCATTTATAATTAATTATGCAGTTGAATTTTATGTAACCTTACTGCATAAATCACTTTACTTAGGAAAATCTATTTGTAATGGTTAAAAGTGGTCTATTTGACCCTAAAAGTGGTCAAATGTAACCATACAGGTAAGATGGAAAGTAGTATAGTAGGATTACCCCAAAATTGCTTTCTGTATCTTAAATTTAAGTTTATTTTCAAGTTGTACAATAATCACAATTTTTATTGTACAAAAATTGAATGTTTTCTGTATCCTAAATTTAAGTTGTATAAAAATCACACAAAAATTGAACATTTTCTATATCCTAAATTTAAGTTGTACAAAAATTGCATACTTTTAATATGCTTTGAAAAACTTCATAGCTATTTTTATCCAAAAATCTGCAATAATTGTACAATTTCCACACAGACTTGAACAAATATTGTACAAAAATTGGATGATTTTTTTTCATAGGGTATATTTTTCAAAAAAAATTTTGCTTTATAAGAAGTTTAAAAAAACAGCCGATTTTATTGCATTGGTCAATAATTTGACTTGAAAACTTATAGTATAATTTTATTAAAATTAAAATTTGAACTACTTCTATAATAGAAACTTAAAAAATTTAAATAAATTTGATTTTATGGTTGGATTTTTAATTTTATAAAAAAAATTAAACTCTATTTATTAATAGGAATTGATTTATAAAATAAAAAAAGTCTCAATATTTCAGATTATATAAGCATCACGTAATATACATATTAGCCAATCAGAAATTAGAATTATATATATTTTTTTTTTGCTAACTAAATCATTACATTTACAAATTTATTAGAATAATAGTAATTATACATAAAGTAAAAGACTATATAACTATTCTAGTATTATTAACTTGTAAACTATTTGTTATTCCACTATATGTGCATTATTGGATGGTTATTATGTTAACTAAACAGGTAAGTGATATTTGAAATGCACCATTTTGCCCAAATTAGAATTTTATAAATTATATAATATAAAATTTATATAATATATTTATTTATTGTAGCTCATTATAAACTGAATCAGATTAATAGCAAATTCAATTATTTTTCTAGTAATTTCTTTTATAAATATCTATATAATATATATTTTCATGATTTTTTTGCAATTTTTTAATTGTAATTAATAAAACTGAATCTAATATTTTTGATACAATTTTTTTGTAAATCTAATCATATTTAAAACATTATTTGAGAAATTTTATACATTGAAATTAATCAAAACTTAAAAAAATCATCTATTCTACTCTATACATGGCCTAGTAAATCATCAGCTAAAAACATAATTCGTAATTCAAAATACATAAATAATTACGTAATTCGTAATTTGAAATACGTAAATAATTACGTTAATCGTAATTATTAATATTTTCGTAATTAGTCAAAAGTACCCATAAATAATTACGTTTAACGTAATTACCGTAAATACTATTGGTAATTAATCACATGATATGTAAAAATGCAAAAAAAATGCCAAAACTGATAGTTCAGCAGTTTTACATGTAAAAATGAAAAGAAAATCGCCAAAACTGATAGTTCTGGCAGTTTTACATGTAAAAATAAAAAAAAATTGCCAAAACTGATAGTTTTGGCATTTTACATGTAATAATAAAAAGAAAATCGCCAAAACTGATAGTTTCGGCATTTTTATTTGTAAAAATGCAAGAAAAATCGCCGAAACTGATAGTTCCAGCGCTCTTCTTGTAGAAATGAAAAAAAAATGCCAAAACTGATAGTTCTGGCATTTTCACTTGTAAAAATGAAAAAAAATACCGAAATTGATAGTTTCAGCGTTTTACTAGTAAAAATGAAAAAATGCCAAAACTGATGGTTTCAGCATTTTTACTAGTAAAAATGCAAAAAAAACGCTGAAACTGATAGTTCTGGCAGTTTACTAGTAAAAATGAAAAAAAATGCTGAAACTGATAGTTCTGGCAGGACTCCGAACAATATATATAAAGGTAGGTTTTGAGTTTGCTTAACCAACATATAAAAATTTTTCCTATGTGAGATTTATTATTGCTTATTTGATAACATAATTTTTAAATAGTCAGATATAATTATGCGTAGCAGAGTATTAAATTATTAATAGTCAGATATATATTTGTGTAGCAGAATAGAATTTTTTAATATATATATATAATATAATATATATTTACATTTTCACATTAAAAAAATCTAATAAAATATGTAAACAAAGTTATAAACATGTTTGTATAAAAAAAATTTACTATTTTTAATACAAAGAATAAGTTAATTGTATACATGATACAGGAACTATTTTTAGATGTGATTATGTAATATATTTTTAATAAAACAAATACATAACTGCGTAATATTAAAAATATAAAATATATACATGTTTATGTAATGCTAAAAAAATATATATTTAAAATGAGATCAATGGGTGGATGGGAAGGGTAAAATAAGTGTTTTTCTGTTTTTTTATAATTTTACACTATAATTTTTGTAATAATCAATAAAAGTTATTTCATTTTTACTTAGAAAATTTTTTAAAAATATTTTTTTTGACAAATTTTACAGTAAATTTTTAAAATAAAAATTCCGTGTATTGGTGGCGTTACAAAAAACATGAATAAATCCATAAATATCTATTCAATCATGATAAAAATTTATATGTAAGTAGATTCGAACTTGCTGAACAACTTTACTTAAGAAGGTTTAGATGTTTACTTTGACTAAAGTACCTAAATTATGCTCTGAAGTCACAGAACAGATATACGAAATATTAATAAGAAACATTTATAAGTTATAATATTACAAAAAAATAATAATAGCTTTTATCCATACATTATTTCAAAAATTTTTGTTTTTTTAGTTTTTTTTATATACATATTTTAGTATAAAAAAAATTATATATAAATATATATATGTCATAAAATAAGTTGCTTAGCAGTGTAAAAAATTTATGGGTTAGATAAAAGTTTGCTTAGCAGACATGAAAAATATTTGCTTATTGATCTTAGTAAATTTTGAATTTTTTATCTGATCTATATATATATTGTTCGGAATCCTATTCCAGCATTTTTACTAGTAAAAATGCAAAAAAACGCTGAAACTGATAAGGACCCCGGATATCTCCAAAACAGGTCATAAGTCACACTTTCGGCAGATTGGCCCATTTTTCAGAGGCTCAAAAAATCGTTTTTTGTAAATATCTCGGCATCCAGTAGTCCAATTTTGATGAACTTTTTTTTAAATTGTAGAGCTAAATGAGGGCTACAAAATATAAAAAAGTTCATTAAAATTGAATTACTGGATGCTGAGATATTTACAAAAAACGATTTTTTGAGTTTCAGCAAAAAGGGGTGTTTTTGGCCAAAAGTCCATTATG